TCATACTTTCATTTCACATCAGCAATCGAGATGCCGTCTCACCCTGATCTCCTAGCCTTCATCTCGGCGATGAACTTGGCCTTCTTTGACGTGGGAATCACGTAGATCTTCACCAGCTCATCCACAACCTCCACCTTGCCGCTCGCCAAGATCTGCAGCAGGGGCAACTTCTTGCCCGCCTGGATCAAGCCGCCCGTGACAGTCTCCATGAAGCACTCCACCGTGTTGTTCGTGTACTCATGCTTCGAGTCCCAGGGCAGCGGGAAGATGTATTCCAAATGATCCTCGATGGTGTGCATCTCGGAGAACGCCTTGATGAAGTCCGTCTCCGCGTCCATGTGGTACAGGAGCACACAGGGGAACTCGAGGGTGCTCTCGGGCGACAGCGGATCCGGCGAGAGCTTGATGCCCGCGTCCTCCATCTCCGGCGGCGCGTCCGTCTTGCGCGTGCGGATGTTCCGGGCCTGGAGCGCGACGCTCAACAGCTGCGCCTCCTTCTGCCGGCGCTCCTCCTCGGCCTTCCGCCTCGCCGCCACCCGCTCCACCGCGGCTTTCCGCTCCGCGATCTTGGTCGCCACCGTCTGCAGGGATTTGTTCTCGGGATCGACGGCCAGGCCGCGCGCCGCCGCATCCTCCGCCTCGGGGATCTTGTCCAGAGCGAGCAATGCCGTCGCAGAGCGGTAGTAGGCCTTGACGTTCTTGGGATTGAGTTTCAAAGCGGCGGCGCAGTCGAGAGTCGTGGAGCGGTAGTTCTCTGATTTGCGGCAAAAGTCAGCCCAACTTGCTCCTCCCCCCACCAACCAGGGATCGTTTAAGAAATGAAGCACTCACGCAATTCCAAGTGACACAGCGCGCGGTTGATATAGCACGCCGCCTCCACCTCCTGCTGGAGTTTTCTCTCCGCCTCCTCATCCTCGGGCTTCTCCCACTTATCCTCCTTGGCCTGGAGCACCGCAATCGCCTTGGTGTAGTGCTCCTTGGCGTCGATCCACCGCTTCTCCTTGGCCGTCTCGTTCCCCTCGGACCGGAAACTCTGCGCCACCTCGCCGCGGGTTCCTTCGTTCTGCAGCGCGCGAATCGCATCCAGCATGACGTTCTCGCCGTCTATCGGCAAAAAAGCCGTTAGCCATGTTCTACCCCTTTGACAACCCCTTTCCTTCCCGATCTCAGACGCATACGGAAAGAGCGGGGCCCCGGGGGGGGGGGGGAAGAGATGGGGGACATACTCTCATCCAACGCCTTATCCATATCCGTCATGAACAACGGCGTCCGGTTCAGGATATCCGCCAGTTCGTCCGTCGTGTGCGTCTGCACCGCCTGCATCGTCGGCGGCATGCGCGGCGCCATCGGATCGCTGCTCTCCACATCCTTCAGGCGCTCGTGCTTGATGGGGAGAATCTCTTCTTCCGTTGTTGCGGCGGCCGATGCGGCGTTGGCGGCGCCATCGTTCAGGTTGAGCGATTCGTCAAAGTCGTCGGGGAGTTCTTCGATTTGACCCATTTTTGTTGTTTTCCGCGCCGGAGGGATATCGAATCTGAGTGGAGAATTCTGCGAGGCGCTGGGTCGGGGAGATTATGTGTGGAATGGATTTCGAGAGGATAAGGTCCAGACAAAAGAAAAACGTGTGATGCGACTGCGATGAGGAAATTTGATCCGCGGGGATGAGGGGTGGGTTGCGGAGACAAACGGTGCAAACCTGAGGGGAGAGAGAGATTCTGGCCGCACTGGCCCAACTATGAGGGAGGAACTACATCGATGTCATGGCTTGATATTGTAAATGCTTGGAGTTAATGAGCGATATTGTATGTGGTCCTCAAGAGGTTTTTCGATCATCTCGGCTACAAGTTTGCTTCTTGTATGTACAGAAGTGGCGTAAAACAAAAAGTGATCAGTCGCATCCGCGCAAACACTATCGGAGGCCCGCCAATATAACTAATTTATGCGATGTGCCAACATGGGAACATCGAAAAGCGAAGTGTCATGCTTAATAGTAGTCTTGAATAAGTCAGCTTCAACAGTTCCAGAGTTCATACTCTTGTGTTCGCTAGTATGATTCTTCATAGGCTACGTTCATACTACGTCTACTACTTACTCCTCATACATACTACAGGGTAACCCGATCTTTTTGCTTGGAACCCCCCAAGCCGTCATCATTTCATCCTGATATTAGCGCCGAGGATGGGGTGGATAACCTCGAGTTGATCGATCGTGAGAGTTATTTCGTTCTTCTCTCCAGGGGGCGGAATTGCCCTCATTCGAAGGGTTGCCGACCAAGTCTTCGATGTGGTTCAATGATTGAAAATGGACATGAGGGACGAATTGAAGTGAATCGTGGCCGAGGCGGAGGACGCTCGAGATTTGTGGAGGGAAAAACTTAAGCGGTTATTGAGGCGGCTATCGAATGAGAGGGCGATCTGCGGCGATCCTAGAACCAATACAATTGAACGTGATTTCGCATGATGACTGACGGCGCCTTAGGCCTGTGAGATTGACAATGGCCAGAGTCCGGATGGTACTCAGGTCTTGCTGAAGTTGTAATCATGGTCAGTCCAGTAAGCAGTGGGCATGCGTGAGATCAGGTGTCTTGTGAAAGAGCGCGCTCTGCGACCAATCTTCAGCATGGTCGGTTAATTGATGCTCGGCATATCACAGCCCGAGGTCCATTTCCGAACGGCTGACCGATGCCAAAGAGCAGAGCGATCTTACACATCATCCGATGATGCTGAGCTTGGGAAGAAGTTGGCTTGTCGAAGCCAAGAAGAAAATCATATGTCAAGCGCTGAACGATCTCGAAGAACTAGAAATGCACAATCTGCACATTTCAAGTGTAATCCCTTCTCTCGCCACGGCTACTGGCAACCGCAAAACCTGTCCCAGGCCCCATTGACATATGAACCTGGGGAAAGGGCCAAATATGGGGGCTCCATCATGCTGGCCGAGATTAAGGCCATCAGTTGAACCACTCAGGTCCAAGAACCAGCCGTCTCCATCGCGATAACTGGCCATGAGAATTTGTGAGAGCGCGGGTCGCAAGCCAGAAAAATGAACCTCGGCTTTTGCTTCTGAGGGAATTGGACCGCGGATCCAGTGATCCACACTCAATTAGTCGCCATCGGTCCGGTCTTCATGTGCCAGCGAGAAAGACAAAAGCGAATGCCAGTCATCTGAATTTCTCTTTCTTCTCCTGTTCAATATTCTCTCATATCGTGCGTGCTGGAGTCCTCTCCTTGATAATCGTTCGACCTTATCACTGTACCAGAAAAGAATTTGCGGCGCACGGGAACCGGAACCGATCAGTCATCCGCGCAGACTACTTTCGTTACCCCAGACAGACTTATCGGCCGAGATGAGCACCCCCGGGGATTATGACGCTGTCCGCAGAGACATCGCCGCCCAGCTAAAAAAGCCCGATTATGACGACGGAAGTGCTGGCCCTGTGTTTGTCCGTTTAGCATGGTGAGACTCTCTCATTGCCCAAGTCACTTTTCCATTGAATTTGCCAACTAACCCCATACCAGGCACTCCGCGGGCACGTATGACGCCGAGTCCGACACGGGCGGCAGCAACGGGGCGGGCATGCGCTATGAAGCTGAAGGCGGGGACCCAGCCAACGCCGGCCTCCAGTTCGGCCGCGCATTCCTCGAGCCCGTCAAAGAAAAGCACCCCTGGATCACATACTCGGATCTGTGGACGCTAGCCGGCGTGGTTGCCATCAAGGAGATGGGCGGGCCCGAAGTCCCATGGCAGCCCGGCCGCACAGATCTCGTCGACGACTCCAAGGTGCCTCCACGCGGCCGCTTACCCGACGGTGCCCTGGGGGCTGATCACCTGCGCTTCATCTTCTATCGGATGGGCTTCAACGACCAGGAGATTGTCGCATTGGCGGGCGGACACAACCTGGGCCGATGTCACACCGACCGCAGCGGATTCGAGGGACCGTGGGTCAACAACCCGACAAGGTTTTCCAATCAGTTCTTTAATCTCTTGCTGAAACTGGAGTGGACGCCGAAGAAGCTGGGCAACGGCATGTCGCAGTTTGTCTTTGTGGATCCGGATGCGGAGGAGGGCGACGAGATGTTGATGATGCTGCCCACGGATATCGCGCTGAAGACGGACCCGAGGTTCCAGGAGTGGGTGGTGAAGTATGCGAAGGATAAGGAGTTGTTCTTCGATCACTTCGCAAAGGCGTTCGCGAAGTTGGTTGAGCTCGGCATCAAGAGAGATGAAAAGGGGTTGGTCATCAATGCGGATAACGTCAAAGGAGGCTATATTTCAGCACCGAAGAAGAGTGATACCCCCACGGGCCCGCCGAGACAGTCCAAGAAAGAAGCTGTCCGTGCAAGGCTATAGATTTGAGGCTGTTTTGTCCGGTCGGCATGTGTTATTTTTGTTGTACATGGAATCTAGATTAGATGGATATAGTTAGAGTTAGCCTTCCATGCCCTATATGTGAATTTAATAGATGCAATTGACTGATACCAACCATGATCAACATCTGACCTGGATAAACAAGCCCCATAGCAGTCTTTCGCAGAAGAATAATCTGAGGGAAGGCTAAGTTGAGGTTGGGGGGAAACGGGGGATTTACAACGAGGGTGAAATGCGGGGAAAGCAACAATGATCGGCTGGAGCTGACTTCCCCTTTTACTCTATTGGCTGACTGCCTTGACTCGGCACTGTCAAGGGCGACATTAATTTCAGTTGTAAATCCACGAATGAAGGATAAATGAAAACTGAGGTAAGTAGGTACGTTCAATTACTTGTTGACCGGAAATTTCAGGCAACTTATTCGGTTGGAAATAACATTCCACCTCAGTAAAGTATCATTTTCTGCTAACAGTTCTCTGCTAACATTCGATAGGAAAAGTATGGACATGAATTTGGCCATTACTGTAGCTGCTGTGCATTTCTAGATCAGAAAAGAATCCAATCGGCGTACATGCTCAAATCAGAAGGCAAAACCAGACAACCTATGAACTGTTCACATCCCAACGGTAGTATCACTCTTCAACGGTCTTCAAGTCATCGGTATCGCCACCTCTAAAGACATCCTGCATCACTCCATCAGTACTTTCCTGCTGATACCTCACATCATTTTCAGCAGAGGCTGAATAATCAGGCTCATCGGAAACCAAAGACCAATCAATCTGCAGAGCGGAATTGTTCAACAGCTCTTCAAAACCACCTTCGATCATTGCGAGATCCGCCTCAACAATTTGGGTGTATGACTCATATTCTGGTGCCTGGACTGATGGCAAAGAAGCGTCCATGGCCATGTGACCGCCACTGAAGACTGAGAAAACTTCCTCGCCGATGAAGTCGCCGTAGCCATATCCATATGGAGATTCCGAGTATTGCACCTCCTCCTGCCCTGCATGGCTCGATGGTGTGATCAGCTGGCTGTGAGCGGCATCAACCTTGGGGAGGGGAACGGGCATTTGTGCCATCAGCTGGTTATTTGGAGTATGAGCTTCAGGGCTGGAAGTAGTGGTCGGTGGTGTCATTAGCTGGTTGCGAAGGGCAGGAACTGCAAGGCTGGCAGTCATGGTTGCCTGTGTCATCAGCTGGTGTTCAGGGTTATCCAGTTCTGCAACCATGTCACCAAGGAATTCAGTGGGTCTTCTCAAGAGCTCGGGTTCTGGTCTCCAGATCAACTCATAGAACAGTAGTGGGACAGACTTATTCTCCCACCAAGCTGAGGGCACTCGATTGAAAGGCTTGGGCTGAGCGTTGGATTGGACCATGATATCCGATCTCAGACGGCTCTCATAAGCACGGATATTTCCACTATCGTGCTCACCAATTTCAGTATCAGTCCAGTAGACACGTAGGCGGCTGTCATTGCAGTAGATGCCTCCTATCCACCTGTAGGACGCAGTACATACAGTGCCTGTAAAGTCAATGTATTCGATGTTGATCTCACGCGTGTGCTCATGAAGGGAGGTTCTGAGATCGGGGGCAACCACTAAACACAAGGGAGTGCTCTGAAATACCGTATCCGTATCCACGGAGCCAGGCCTTTTACAGAGGACACAATCCTCGCTCCACCGCCTTCCAAACCAACGACCCAGGAGATCCTGTATGGTCACTTCATTTGTGCCGGCGCTCTCAGCGAGTGGCATGAATATGCGGTGTTTCACAGCAAGCCCCTCGTCAACGAAGGGAAATTGGAGATGGTCAGGCAAACAGGAACACGCGAAGTATCTCTTCGCAGACAAATAGTCGAACTGGGTGAAGGACTTCGTCAATGCCATCCACGCGTCTCGCACGTTCTTGAGGGTTGTATCAATGTTGATGTTGAGTTTCTCCAGTTCAGCTTTGAGGCGAGTTATCAGTCGAGCGCCTTCTTCGTGGGTGCAGGTGTCCCAGTCTTGGTTTATAGCTTCGCAAAAGGTGAGCTCCGCTTCGTCGAAAGTCTGTCTCTCGCTCTCATCACACTTGTCCTTTGATGAGTCCAACCTCAACAGCTGGGCGACCACAATCAGTGCATCAAGCATACTCGATTCGTCAGACGACACGGGATCTCGACCATGAGACAGCGGCTCCCCCATGGTGATGTCGTTGTTCGAGTTCGTACCCTGCAAGACGGCGTGCTCTGTAGCTTCGATCTTGAGACAAGGTTCGGTTGTCTGAGCTGGATCTACAGGTGTGTTCTGAGAAAGACCGAAAGACTGGGCCGACTTGGTCTTTTCGTCGGAAGGGTCGTTGTGCGAAATCATCATGCTTGCGGGTTGAGCGGCGAGTGGAATTACTGGAAGAGACGATGGAAGTGAGAGACTCGAATCAAGTATAGTGCTGTTCTCATTCTGAGGGTAAGGTTGCAAAGTAACATTGGTACTTATAGCGCCACCAGTCGAGGGCAAACACATCCGGTGAATGCACAAATCTGAAAGAAATGGAGACGTGTCCAGCGGTCTCTGAAAGTTCTGCTCAAGCTGCATAACCGGTCCACTTTTAAGACTGGGGTAGTACCGACTGATTGGGATGCATGGCCGGTTGATCTTCGTTGACAGCAAACGTGGGCCCGCGTCTCTCGTCACGTCGAATAATTCGTTCCAGGTCTGGGGCTGATGTTGAGGGGCTCGGTTGTAGATAAGCTTGAAAATCATAGCGCCCAGCTGGTCGCAGGTGGCTTCGCCTACTATCAGATCATGATCAAAGCCCCAGTCCAGGAACGGCAGCAACAGCTCGAGATCCTCCTTTCTGGCATGCCCACCCTTGGTGAGCCCTGTATATCGTTTTCCGCCGATGGTGAAGTCCTTGGGGGGGTCAGGGAGGGTCTCCACAGCTAGCTTTTCAAAACGGAGCTCTGGATCGGGATACTGAATCTCATGCCATTTCACCCCCGGGCGTGAGATGGCAGGGACAAAGCGATCTTTTCGGCTCTTGGCCGGCTTCCCCGCACCGGCTTGTAGCTGTCCTTTGACCATCTTGCAGGCTATAGTTCAGGAGTATGAGTGATGGCGCTAACTCTCGCTTAATCTCGCTTGGGGCGGGAACCTTACCGGATGAAGACTGGCGTGTCTGGAGATGCGGAGGAGAACTATGGACCGGATCAAGTAACACGAGATAGAAGCGTGGAGAAAGAAACAAAAACAAGAGACAGGAACAACTTCAGAGGAAAACTAAGGACTGAGAAAAGACTTTGAGTAACACATCATGTATCCACTGGAGGGTAGTGAAGGAACAGAAGGGGTGAGACTTCTCCCAAAACAAAATTAGTGAAGTGAATTAGCTCAGTGCCAGTCAATGCAGGAATTTTGCTTGACAATCCATGTCCTACCCACTAAAAATCTAAGTCACTCAGGCGCATACAATTCAACTGCCTCTAAACTCTTCTTTGTTTGTTGGAAGAATCATAGCATGTCTGGTCTGAATTCATTCATAACACTCACAGCAAGACGGTGCTCTCTGTGTCCAGCTAGAGATCTGACTAGGCACGTGTTACAGGGCTACATACAGATTATTAGGAGATGGACTGGAGCAGGGTGAGTCTTTGATTATCTTGACTATTTTGAGCCTCTTCTCAACCGATATCTATCAAGTAGGTCATATTGCCCTTTCGACTTCAGTGTTGATCTTTTGGAGTACGTAGTGTGATGTGGGTGGAGTTGCCATGACAGGATCCCCCATAAACACTAGAGTAGAAGATGCGGCCATACAGGCGCCCAATAAAGCCTAGTCCCCAGAGAACGGTCGATCGAGTATTGAGGGACAAGCTACAAGATACAAGCATGAGAGCAGCTGAGCCTCTTCAGTCCTCTACAAAGATGCAGCATGGCTATCAACAGTCCTTCTCTATTGCTGAGACGAAGGTAAACTGCCAGCCTGAGGCATCCGCAGAGGTCAGATCACGTGCCCGCGTCCACCCCAGCGCAGGGCAAGTGACAACATATCCCGAACCAGCCTAGCGCAGCCCGTAAGCGAGCCCTCAGAACGACCATGCCAGATACGGTTAGTCACCAGCTTACCCGATCCCACAACGGGCTTGCGAAAGTCCCAGAGGAAAGAGATTGAGAAGCACCGCCAACGCCCACGACTTCACCCTCCTTCTCCCATCCCTTTCGCCTGTCGACAATTCACCGCGGTCCCGCCCCAAATCGCCCATCATGTGTACGTGCCAATCTCTCAGTCTCTCCAGATCCCTCATGTCCGACCATTTTTTACTCCTTCTGGGATTCCTACCTGGTTTCTGTGTCCGGTCGATGGTCAAGGAAAGAAAATCGTTTTGGGTGGCTATTTTGCGATGACGGGAGGAAAATTCTTATCGCTGCGACGGCAACGCATCAAAAATTACAAGCATCAGCTCGGCATGGAGGTTTTCTTGATTCTCGACAGACCGACCGGATATGGAATACGGCGTGGGAATACTTTGGGGAATAAACTCTGCGCTGGACAGACGAGGGACTGGCTTTTTATGCGATGAATGTGAACGGAAATGCTGATGGTTCTCTCGACATATAGCGCTTGTGTCCGGCGAGAAGACCAACTTCCAGTACATTCTGCGTCTCCTCAACACCAATGTTGACGGTAAGCAGAAGATCATGTACGCCTTGACCCAGATCAAGGGTGTTGGTCGCCGTTACTCCAACTTGGTCTGCAAGAAGGCCGATGTTGACCTCACCAAGCGGTACGTTTTCATCCTCCAGTCCTCTATCACACCCATTCCACCGGCAGATGTCGGGGCTACGGAAGATCCAAAAGAAAGAAGAGGAGGAAGCCGCGCCACCAATGCAACATCTTGAGAAAATGGGAGGAATACACCTCGGAGACCGAAACCCGCGCCCGCACATCTGGCCTCTCCTCTGCAAACCACTTCAACCAAATATTCCCGGCAACAGTCAAGGTTAATTCTTATCTTCATACAGCGCCGGTGAGCTCACCACCGAAGAGCTCGAGCGTGTCGTCACCATCCTCCAGAGCCCCGAGCAGTACAAGATCCCCGCCTGGTTCCTGAACAGACAGCGCGACATCACCGACGGCAAGAACTCCCAGGTCGTCTCCAACAACCTCGACAGCAAGATCCGTGAGGACCTCGAGCGCCTCAAGAAGATCCGCTCCCACCGCGGTCTCCGTCACTACTGGGGTCTCCGTGTCCGTGGTCAGCACACCAAGACCACCGGTCGCCGTGGTCGCACCGTCGGTGTCAGCAAGAAGAAGAACTAAGCATTTTTTCCTTCCCTGGGAGCTGTGTGTTTATTTTCTTTCTTTTTCTTGCGCGGGTCTGGGCTACTTTGGATCATGGGATTAAAAGAGAGTCGGGGGGGCAACTGTGTCTGAGATGCTGGTGTGATAATGAAAATTCCCCCCTTTCGCTGGGAATCAGACAAGGGGTTCATCGCGGCTCCGAGTCTCCCGCGAAAATGAAAAGAAATCATACCATCATGAAATGAATTTTAAAAAAAAAAAAAAAAAACCAAACTTGGTCCTTTGTCTTCGTATTTCGTAGAACACGCTACCCCATCCTGTAATCAGGCTACTCCTCGCATCTCATACCACAAGCTATGGAAGTATCTCCTTCAATCCACGCCGCTACTATTCTAACAGGGGGTATGTATGTGTCCAATATGCCATGACGCTCTATTATCATCACATAGTAAACACCTAGGGCTGTCCCTGGTTCCATACCTCCTACCATCTTATCAGCTTCCATACACCAGTGAACCAACAGGTATACCATCATCTTGCTCGAAGCAACCAACCTCCCCTCCCCCTTCTCCCCCAAATTCCCACTCACCGCGTGCAAGGCAGACCCCAACGGTCGTGGCGGCCCTTCCCTCCCCCAAGCCAATCTTAGCTGTCTCCAGGTCCCTCGAATCGAAATCCCCCATCAAACCAGGGTCCTTGCACCGCACCAGGGCCTGGAAAGTAGATCTCCACGGCCCAGTACAATCGCCATCCCACTCGTCGACCGCTAGATATCTGTCTTACCTAAACGTGCCGAGTTCGGCGATTCTTAGATGTGGTTTGGAGACTACCCTGAAACCAAATCTTACAGACTACTTCTCGTGCAGGGCAATTTACAAGTGTGGTAAAAAATTCCTTATTGAGTAACAAAACCTGATCATTCGATCGATTCTAGCAAATGTGTTCGCAGATGACAACAAAAAAGTACAGCAATCATGTGGTCATAGATCCCGTGTGCAAGTTGACTTCGAATGCACCACAAGTAAGTCATAAGATGGCAAATTGAAGGCTGGTACTACATCGCCGGCAGCAAAATGCAAGTATGTAACTTATATCAAAGAGCAGCAGTAGCAGCAGCAGCAGGTCCGATCTAGAACCATTCACCGCCCAACCAGCGGTTGAAGAACTCCAGGCTGGACTCGGGCTGGTCCATGGGAACCATGTGGCCACCGCCGTAGAGGCGCATGAAGGTGAAGTTGCCGTGGGACTTGACCTGTCCCACCTTCTTGCCCTTGTGCTCGTTGTCGACGATCTTGAGATCTTCCAAGGGGAGAGCGGCGTACTCCTTCTGGCCGGGCCACTCGAGAGCCTCGGTCCAGGCCTTGTTGCCAAGCCAGTTGCAGATGAAGTCGGCGTCACCGGCATAAATCAAGACGGGGATCTGCTCGAGCAGACCCGGAACCAGACGGTGGTAGGGCTTCATCCAGTCACCGTGGAAGAGGAAGTTACGGTTGATGTCGAAGTTGCAGGAGTCATAGCCGCCAACCTCAGCACCGACAGCCTCGATGACTTCGGGCTTGTTCAAGTAGTCGCTGACGTACCCCAGACCCTTGTAGCAGAGGTTGGAGTCGTCCTCGCACTTGCCACGGACATCGTAGACATTCTGTCCGGTACGCTGGTAAGGTGCCAGGAGAGCGTTGTTGCAGTAAATCGAGGCAGGCACGCAGACCCAGGAGCTCTCAGAGCTGTAGCAGGACTCAATCATGGACAGACAGCGGGGCAGGGCGTTGTCCATGGACTGGCAGGAAGCTTTATCCAGAACAGCAGGGTAACCTCCGTCACCGCAAGCCATGGGCCGGTAGTACTCGTACTGGGTCAAGCCATCGGTGAGACCGTTGCCAATCAGCACAGACTTGAGGTTGATGTTGCGCTTCTTGTGAGAAAGGATCTCAGAGGCAAAGACAGGGATGTAGTGACCAGCATAAGACTCGCCAGCAATGTGGAAGTCTTGCTTGGCATACTCGGGGAACTGCTTGAAGAAGAGAGAAAGCAGAGCATAGACGTCCTTGCCAGCAGCAACAGTGTCACTAACAGCAGAGCCACTGTAGGAGTAACCAACGTTGACGGGCTGATCAAGGAAGATGACAGAGGCGTTGGAGTTCCAAGAGAAATCATTGTAGATGGGCTTGATGTTCTCATTAATGCTGCTGGGTCCAAGCTCCATAAAGAGACCGGTCAGAGACGAGCACCCAGGGCCTCCGTTCAACCACAAGACAACGGGATCGTTGGCGGGATCGTTGCGAGATTCGAAGAACCCTTCAAAGAGTTAGTGTTGAATCCCTTCGTTCCAGGCATGTTTTTCACTTACAGTAGAACAGGTGCTTATCATTCTCGTTATCATCAAGATAACCGGTATATTGCTTGACGTTCGGGTCAATGTTGAGGGAGCTAGGGTCGGTCTTCTTGACCCTGAGATCGTAGGCTTCCAAACGGCCATCGATCTCCCGCTCCTTCTCGCCGTTGGCGCCGGTGACCCAGACGTCCTGGACATCAGCACCACGAACAACGTGGTCCCAGTGAGAGTCGGGACGACGGTTGTGCTTCTTGGGCAGAGAGAAGAGAGGGTTCTGGTCCATGCTCTCGGGGAAGCTGCTGGCAACTTCCTCCCAGAGTCTACGAGCATCCTCGGAAAGAGTCTTCAGCTGCTCCTTGAAAGCGTGCAGGGGCTCGGAGGAGCTCTCGACGGTCGACTTGATGTTCGACTTGACATCTCCGAGAACCTGCTGGAAGGGAGAGGAGACGGCAGCAGTGGCCGCTCCGACCAGCAAAGAAGCTGGAAGGACTCTCATGATGATCTTGGTTTACGTATCAAAGAGCTTGGGTTGAGTCCTTGATGGATTGAGGAGAGAAGGATGGCAAGGACCTTGCGGTCTGGATGGTACCTGGGAGGCAAGGTGCTTATCAGCATGGGCTATCAGGGCAAGACGGGTGTGGCTGGGGAAAGGGAGATAAAGCTTACAGCTCAGGGCAGTTGGAAAAGGATGGAATTGTAGCCGATGGAACACCAGCTACTTGATCCTACCGAGAAGATCAAGAAGAGAGAAGAACAGGTGAGGATGAGAGAGAGAAGGGAAGAGGGAGAAGGAGAGGTCCGGCGTTGGCCTGCAGATGACGCCTTGATAGCTGGGGGAGGAGGCGGCCAATCAAACCGCGGTGCCTTCCGGACCAAGGCGAGTCACGCGCCGAGTCACATGTCATGACTAAGCAGACTTCACGGGACCAGCGTCATCGCCCGTTCCTCCAATCACAGCTCCGTCAGGCCACTGCCTGCCTGGATGCGGGCATCATTTTTTCAGACGAATCCCAGACATACGCCTCTTGATAAACAATCCCATCCACCAGATACCCATCTTCTGTGGTTTATCTCTTGATTATACCAGCGGAACGCACTTGGCTTCTCCGCGAAGGAAGACTCTTCCAAGATGCCGATCAACCAACCCTCAAATCAGATCAAATTCACCAATGTATCAGTCGTCCGATTAAAGAAGGGTAAGCGGACCAACTCCTCTACTAAATATACCATATACCCCAGCGCGAGCGTCTGGAAATGCAGCCAGGGCTATTTTCCAGATCGGCGATCACAAGCATGAACCAATTTACCAAAATCCCCTTCACCATCCCGCTAACACCTCACCTTCTCCAGGCAAAAAGCGCTTCGAACTCGCCTGCTACAAGAACAAACTCCTGGAATACCGCTCCGGCGCCGAGAAAGACCTCGACAACGTGCTACAAGTGCCCACCATCTTCCTGTCGGTGTCGAAAGCGCAGACGGCGCCGTCGGCCGAGCTGGCCAAGGCGTTCGGCGCCGACACGCCCGCCGATGAAATCCGGCAAGAGATCCTGCGCAAGGGCGAGGTGCAGGTCGGCGAGCGCGAGCGAAAGGAGATCATCGAGCGCGTTGAGAAGGAGATTCTGGATATCGTGTCGGGCCGGCTGGTGGACCCCACGACGAAGCGCGTCTACACGCCCGGCATGATCTCCAAGGCGTTGGATCAGTTGAGCTCGGCGAGCGGACAGCAGCAGACCCAGGGCCCGGCGCCCAGCGAGACGAACGGCGACGGCGACGAGAACCGCGGCGGCAGCGCCGCCCCCCGGAAACCCCTGTGGACGGGGGTCGCGGCGAATAAGTCGGCGAAGAGTCAGGCGCTCGATGCGATGAAGGCGCTGATCGCGTGGCAGCCCATCCCGGTGATGCGGGCCCGCATGCGCCTGCGGGTGACTTGTCCGGTGTCGCTGTTGAAGCAGAGTGTCAAGGTGGCTGGGGGTGCGGGCGGTGCGAACAAGGAGAGGGAGACGCCGCCCCCCAAGGGTGGTGCCAAGGGGAACAAGAAGGGTGGGAAGGGGTCGAAGAAGTCGGCCCGTCAGCAGGACTCCGAGGATGAGGCGGGTGGCTCGGACGCTGAGGCGGCGCCCGCCAAGGGTCCCAGCAATGTCAAGGACAAGATCCTCAGCTATATCGAGTCGGTGGAGGCGCAGGAGGTCGTGGGCGGTGACGAGTGGGAGGTCATCGGATTCGCAGAGCCTGGCGCTTTCAAGGGACTGAATGACTTCGTTGGCAATGAGACCCGTGGCCGAGGACGCGTGGAGGTTCTTGACATGGCCGTCACCCACGAGGACTAAACCCAAGCATCTTTGATAAGGGGGTATATGGACCGCATTTCACCTAGAGCCTGTATAGATGACATGACTGATGACCAGCAAAACACCGGATATGAAGTGTACGAGAACCATTCTGAGCATCCATCGGACATGTAGAGTCAGCAGTAGGCTCGTCGCACTGCATAGAAGTAGCCCGTCCCATGCGACACCGACCGTTTCGGTACTCGCTGCCCTTCAACCACCCACCACCATCCAAGTATATATCCTCCGTCTCACACAGCAGAGCACTAACAACCCCATTCAACCCTTCACAAACAATGACCTGTGAGATACTACCGATAAGCACAATCCGACAAAAAGAAGAAGAAAAGAAAAACAAAAACCACCCCACCCACCAACATTGCCACCGATATACGAAGTCCTCCTATCTTCAAAGCCACCCCCTTCCCTCCAATATACGCAACAACCTCAAGAAAAAAAAGCCAAGCCCCAGATGCAACGCATGCAGTAGTTCATCTCCCTCCGTCCCTTCCCTCCCCAACCCAGATATTCGCCCCCAAGAAACCTTACAGCTCAGACTGCAGTTAGTTCAGCCGATAACCCTGCCTCTCTCTTCTTGGTTTCGTCATCTAGAATCCCCGCCTTTCCGCCCCCCTCCCTTCCGCCGATGCCGATCAGATAAACAGGTACTCCTACATAGATAGACAGTAGTTGCGGTCTAGCCAGGTCGACCGCCGGGCAAAGCTACGCCACCAGCTGGGCTTGGCATTTGGCCATCGTTTTAGTTGACCCAGCTATTTACTACTAGGTATTTAGTGCTTGTTTCTCTTTTTTTTTTATTTTTTTATTTTTTTTTGGATTTTCTTTGCACGCCTTACCCATCCATACCCAAGAGCCTGAACCCCAAGTGGCCAGGAATTTGGGTTGCGGGTGGCAGTCAGTGGTGGGGGGGGGGGGGGGAAAGGAAAGAGGGGAAGGGAAGGAGGGGCGAGGCTACCTGTACCTATGTAGGGTTGAGGCTATCAATTCTAGGTTCTGGAAGCTAAGGTTACTTGAAACATAGTCTCACTTAAGTTAGTTCCCAAAAGGCTACTAAGGCTAGACTAAGTTAAGAGCTAAACTAAGCTAAATGTGTACCGGTATGGGTATGACTATGTGGACTATACGGATTGAAGTCAAGATGATGCGTGATGTGCCGAATGCCAAGAAGATGGAATGGAGATGTGCATGTGGAGTCCTGGATCTGGGGGAAAGGGGAAAGGGAAAAAGGGACTGGGACTGTGAAAGGGGAAGGGGGGCAAAGTGGGAAGCTCTATTGTTGACTACGTTCTCTAGTCATTCATAGTTTTGCTAAAGGTGGAGTCTACTAAGTATGATTGTCTCTCTCTATTACGATTTCGACTCATATCTTTGTGTAACTCATACATGGGTACGGTTCAAGTAGGCATAGGCATAGGCATAGGCATGGACAGGGCTTCCCTACATGGAAATGGTGGCGAGGTCTGCAGGCTAATAACTACCTACAGGCTACGATAAGCAAGGATTAAAATTCTTGATTTCTTCATTCATTGGTCTACTGCACTACCTGATGACAATGTTAGTGGTCTGCTGGGTAGATTAGGTAGAGTAAAAAAAGGCCATGTAGCTTGGGCTGCTAATCTTTCTTCCTCTGCTTCACGAAGGTTGCTAGTAGTAGGCAAAACCCCCAAGCGAGTGAAGTACGGTAAGCATTTATGCAACACCGCCAGCAGCAGCAGCAGCAGCACGACCAAGCCGGTCGGCAAGAGAAACTTGACTGCAAAGGGTATACGCTCAATTGCAAATGCACGAAAGCATATAGAATATGCATAAGAAGCCAGGCGCTTTTCAACATTCGTTCGTCTCATGCGTGGAAAGTCAAATGTCAGCCGGCAGTGACGCTGGGCCAGTCAAATGCAATAGCCGACATGCCCCTCACGTCGTGCGATGCATGGACTCTGGACCCGAGGTCTTGGCTGATGGAAGTGACCGGGCGGTGGCCGGAGGATCCGGATTTCGGGCTCTCTCAAGGGCCCTTGTTGTTATGTATGCGAAAGGGAGTTGGCTGGGATTAAAATAGAAGGGTTGCGTGTAGAAGAGGTCGTTGTCGGTAATAGAGGCTGTGCTCCGTCTAGGTGTAGCAGGTTGTAGTGGAAAAACAAATGGATGGATCGTCGGGATGGCGGGCGCTCATTGGGTGAATGGCTCACGTGACGAGAAGCGAAGATCTTGCCGGAAGTCGATGCGGTTATTAGGATAAATAGAAGTTCTAGTAGCAGATCTGCACGGCGTTCAACGCTCGTGTCAGATCCTCGGGGGCAAAGGGCATGCAAGCGCCCTTGGGTGACATTGGAGGCGGCGATATGGCCCGTACAACCGGAGAGGTGTACCGGATGGTTTCCTTCAGTAGGGCGATCGGGTCCTCCTGCTCGAGTTCCGGAAGGAGAGTCATCAGGGACTCGCTGTAGCTCTCTGGATCCACGGCCGTCGAAGAGGTCGAGCCGCTGCTGTCTCCCTGGCGGCCTTGAGCGTACTCATCATGGTCCACGGAAATCGAAGCTATTAAGATGGTCAGATCGCGGTCATCCTACAAATCGCTGAGGCCAAGAGAAATGGACGGAGTTGACCGCGAAGAAAGTGAAGAGTTCCACATACCAGTCGTCACTACCTCCGGGGCCGTCGTTGGGATCTGATCCGGGGCCAGGTCTTCCTCGTAACATTGAGGTCTCAGGTAGTCCGGCAATGATGTACAAGGGGACAGCGATAAATCTAAAGACCGGCGTCGCTCTTCTTGCGTCCCTTGGAAAGACCATGCTGCGAGGCGCCGTTGGTGTTCGCGATCGAAGGGACCCTTGAATTTGGAGCGAGGAATCTCATGGCGCTTGTAATACTCGATCTTAATCCCGTGCCCTTTGGATTTGGATGAAGAGGAGCTGCTGCTCCGACGGAACACTCGTCGAACCTTCTCACGGAAATTCATTGTGACCGGAAGGAGAAGTAAGTAGTCGAGGTATGGAGGAAAGATATCGAGGTTGTGCAGGTGTGGAGATTAAGCGTTGACTCTGTTTAACTCCGCACCTCAAAGTAGTAACGGGCCTTTCCCAGTCGGGGATTGGACGCGAGGGAGAGTGTGCAAGCACAGACAACAATTGGAGAGATAAGCAAAGCCCGATCTCATCGTATGGCTAGAGTGGAGAGGGGAAGAGAGGGGAGACGAGAGGAGATGAGAGGAGATGGTTTGGAAATCAATAAAAGGGAAGAGAGGAGAGGAGAGGAGAGGAGAGGAGAGGAAGAGAGGGCGAAGTAAGAGCAAGAAGTAGCAAGAGAGGGAGGGAGGAGGGAGGGCTAAGGCTATGTGAACCGCAATGCGGGTATCTTAAGCAAGCAGCAGCAGTCAGTGTGAGAGACAAATCGACGACTAACTCAGAGGAGTAATCGAAATCGGGTGGACTCCATACCTATGATTCAATTCGAGGGGGGAAATTATTCCTAGTTGGCCACGAATAAGTATCGCTGATTGGCACGAGGCGATTCAAGACACTAAGTCACTTCTGCCGTTTAGCCCCATTCCGCTAAGCGCACGGCGATAACAGTTTGGGTGGGTGTGAAAGAGAAAGTGGGATAAGAACGATATGGAGAATTGGAGATTGGAGAGAAGCGAGATCAGGAACCCATTCCACCACCATGTAGAGTAAATGGTAGTGAAAGGGTCGAGATTCTTGATAATATTTGGGAATCGAGGGCATGAAGTGAACAACAAAATATAACAGATAAAAGAAAGAAAAAATAGGGGGAAGAACCTACCAATTCACACAACTCCCCTAAATTAATTCACTCATTCAACTGTTGTCTCCTATCAATTTCGCTCGCTTGACTTGCAACAAGGTGCTGGTGCTGGTGCTGGTGCTGGCTGTTGCAGCACTGGCCAGCCCTGACTCCACGGTTTTGGACCAGTCTGGTAAGCCGCGATTAGTTTACCACCCTTTGCGCTCAACCACCTTGCCCCGGGCACATCTGATTGTGCGGATGGGTAAGTTGAGATCCACCTGAGTGAGAAATGCGTGAATTAACACCGGCGACTAGCGCAATGTATGTCCGAGGAGGTGGGTTGAGAAGTGGTGGTGCTGCTTCTAGTACAGTACAGCAATGCAGTGAGTGATATGTCACTAATCACTATGCTACTCTGTAGATGGATGGGATGAAGGGCTTCTGGATGGATCTACTCCCATAATAATACATATGTAGTATTAGTATTTATTCTTTCTCCGCCGAGACCCCATTATTTCATCATGCATCGCCCCTCTGGATCTCCAAGAGTCCATCTGACCAGGATTATTTTTCTGCTCCTGCTGCTGCATCGAACGGGTTGAATCATTCCGGGGATTGCAGCATGGGCGTCACGGTGCCGAAGTCCGGTTTTTCCCACATCCTTCCAGTTTCCCCCTCAGGGCTGACTAACTATCCTTCTTCCCCCAATCACCGCGAGTCAGAGTGAGTTTGACTGACGGTCGGGGTTGCATTCGCTTGGACACCGCGAGTCTCGAGGTACGACGGTCCGGCAACAACGACCATGGTAGCGTTGCCTTTACTACTGGTTCTACGCCGACCTGGAACGATCCCGAGTCAATTCCGGTGCTGGGCTGTCCTTTGATAGACCCCAGTCGGGGCACGAGCTCTCCCATACCATTGACGGGCAAAGCATGCACCTACAGGTGGCCCATTCTGGTGAACGCCGGGTGGGTGACAGTGACAGTGACACTGTCCTGTACAGTACAGTGTGAACCGCACCCACCGGACAGGCCGAAAGTGAACCAAGCTGTATCCCTGGCATGGAAGTAAATGTGGCAAAATGGCAAACAATCCTACCCCATCCTTCTCCTCGTTCTCGTTCTCGTTCTGGTCCTCCACCTCATAAGTCCATATGGCCTAGGCTAGGCTGGGCCAGGACAGCGAGACGGAGGAGACAGACGCAAGGGTTTGTGTCTCTGTCGTGGCCGGTGCTGCACCGAACCTTTCCAGAAGGATGGCCAAGATGTTCCGATCGACGTGCCACCACCACCTATCTCATCCCTGCCAGGGATCCTGGTTCTTTTGGCAGGCTCTGAGCGGCCGACTAGTGTCCGGGGGTATAACAGGTGGTAAACCGACATCATCATCATCATTCTCCATCAACCGTTTCCTTTGTTGGTTGCGTGGCGGTTGGGACGGATTTTCTGAAGCGGGCAGACGACGGATTCAGACGAAACGTCAGTTGCCGGAAGGGGTCGGACGGTGGCACTGAGATAGATAACCCGTACCAAACCTCCTCGCCGTTCCTTCCGTGAGAGACTCTATCATAGATTTTGAAAGCGATAACAATATGTAATGGGAATCGCACATAGAGAGGGCCTAACCGGATTCAGTTGCGGTGACGAGAGATAATACGCGAATCAACGGACTGGGATGGCCGAAAAGCGCCGACTGCCCCGCTGGATGTCCCGAGGAGTTGTCTCCACACGGCACGGTACTTCCGATTGTTTTTTAGTATTGGTTTGTCTTACAAGCTTTCATGGTCTAAAACAACAGCCAGGCCGGCTGGCCCAATGGTAAGGCGCTTGACTACGAATCAAGAGATTGCAGGTTCGAGCCCTGCGTCGGTCAGTGTTTTTGATCCTCTGGCAGTTCATCAGGGTCTCTGTCTGTGTTTACTCCGCCAAGAAACAGCTTTTCTTTTTCTAGATCTAACCAACTCAGCAGCATGTTGTTCCCTGTAAGGGCGGCGTCCCGCGTAGGGTTGGGCAGGAAAAGAGGCTGACTGGCCGGGCAATGTTCCGATGATGTCATCACCACCAACCGCCCATGGGGTAACGGGGTTAACCTTTCAGCCTTCTAGAAGCCGCATTTTCTTTCCAGCATTATTTCTCTCGGGTACGAATACATAGGGTTCAATGACATGGCATTCAACGAGATGCACTTTCCCACTGATAATAGCATGGAGTGAACCAGGGACTCCCGAGAACAGCCTGAAACTGTTTGCGGGCTGATCCTACCCTCATCCGTCAGGTTGCTGGCCGAATGTGCTGGAGCGGTATGTGGCCATCCTCGTGGTGAGCATAAATCCGTTCGAACATGGCACTGACTGCGACACGTTTGGGATTCCCATTGTTCCCCCAGCTCAGACACTCCCCCGTTATCTCTAGCCCCAGTCCATCGAGATCCTGAAACCGGCGACTTTCCGGGGACAAATTGGTACTCTGAACCCGGCTACACTTCGCATGATGTAATCGATCCCGCGCGGACTGGTGAAGGGCAGCGTAGGCCGAGAGAGATCGTTCTCGCCCTGCTCTTGGCCCTATGGTCTATGACACGTATATCTGCTCGTAGACATGAGTATGAACGAGGTTGAGGAGCTTTCTCTTCCGGTTATTTCCGGTGCTCTCCCTTCTCCAGATTTCAACCTCACTCTACTGTACAGTACTGATGCTTGCTGATGCTTGTGAATACCTTGGTACAGTAGTGTACATGTATTACACTTGCAGGAGTGCTTGGCATACCTTAGCTTCTGTACCCTGCTATAGTGTCGTGATCCCTTGCCTGGTTGGGACAGAGCAACCGGAACAACCGCTGTTCCGGGCGATCGGCTGAAGACGGTTGGCAGCCTGGCCTCTCTTCTCGCTGCAGGTACGGATTAATGTCGCCGGAATCAGGGGAAGAACGGGGGGTTTTGCGCCTCAATCATAGAATCTATCAGTCGCTACGCTTTTGAAGAATTGAATCTTGCGCTAGCATTCTCTCAGAATGAGAGAGCTCGAGGGGTCAAACCTAATCCCAATGCGGAAACAACAATAGATGCCCCAGCTTTGCTTCACTGCTCCCCCCAGTAAATGATAGCTCCTGGTCGATCGCATGGATTCTAATCATGGCTGAGAGCAGAAGCAGATTTCCCTATAGCTTCCCGAATCATGCTTCTCGTTACAGCTCAGCTACTCACCTAGACCAATTGCTCTCGTAGACGTCGCAATCGTAACCAGCTTAAGATTTGGATCCGCAATTCCTTCCTGTCGCATGGTGTACAGGTTAACCAACGGAGTAATTTTCTTGTCTTCACCCTCCTCCCTTCTCCCTTCCCTCTAGATTTTTTGATGCACACACCTCTGTCTACACCAAATTGCACCATTCATCGAGGCGCCTGGTCTGAGCTTCTCGATTCTAGTCATTACTGGTTACAGTCAATGATTGTTGAGAATACTAACCTTGAACTACTATAGCCCTGCCCTGCCCTGCACTTCCCGGGGCCACAACTCCCCCACGGATTAACGTTCCCCGATTTGATTAGACATTCGGAAAGGACCAACATACCTGCTGCCCGCCCCTAACTTCTTCCACTTTGCCAGTCTGCGCGACTTCTTCTTAATCTCCCCCAGCGTGGACAGCACGACCTTCCAGATCCTGTGTCATCCACCTTCAATCCCATCCCCACCCTCCCCCGAACAAAAATCGTGAGTTCTCAACTGCTGCTCCCTACCTAGTAACAAGCATTGTCCATCTCCCTCTGAAGAGCCAGTCTCTGACCGCTTGCCCACGGACCACCACCCACAGGTTTGCTTTGCGCACAATGGCGAAGAAAGGAGGAAAGAGCAAGAACAAGAGCAAGTCCAAGGGCGGCGCTGCCGCCGCGAAGAAGGTTGCCGACACTCCGGCCGCGGTGTAAGTGATGCATCCTGTCAACCGCACAAATTCTCTTTTGCGCGCCGCGCTAACGCGATAATTTTCTTGTTCTCAGTGTACCCGAGCAGGAGGTCGAGGAAACCGTCACAAAGAGCGATGCTGAGCCCGAAACCGTGGTCACCGATGCTGGCGCAGCTGTGACGGCCGATGCTACCACCGCTCTTCCCGACACCGTCGCTCAAGGCATCACCACTGCCCCGCCTGCTGACCTCGCCCAGGAGGCATCCACCGGGGACGACGCCTCTCTTCCTAAGGTTGACGAGCCTGCCACCGATGTTGTCGCAGAGGAGGAACCTGTTACGGTAGCTGGATTGAGTAAGCCATTGATTGCTGCTTCTTACCTGTGTCTCTCTTTCTCTCTTGGCGGATTGATCGCTGACTTTTATCTCCCTCGCTGTCGCAGCCACTACTACCTTGCCCGAGCGCCCCAAAGATACTGCTGTGGAACCGGAGAGCCATGAACATCAAGCGAAGAGACCCTATGAGAGTAGTCTGTTCCACAAGGAGGAAGACCACAAGCCGCCCAAGATTCCCAAGGTCGAGGATGACTTGGATGCTACCACCTCCGCTAAGGCTGTTGAGCCCATCGGCCAGGATACCGTTGGCGCGGCTGCCATTCCTGCTGGCGAGACCATTGTTCAGCCCCAGATGGTACCGGGTCTGGGCACTGACCCCTCGGACAACGTTGATCAGTTGGAGGCCCCAGAGCTGAGCAAGGACACGGCCGCTCCTGTCGAGGCTGCCGCTACTATCCCCGACGCCGCCAAACCCGCAACTGCGGACGCCGTGGTTGACAATGCCGCCTCTGAGACTGTTGCTCCTGTCTCCGCAGCCCCTGTCACTGATGCCGCTGCCCAGCCCGAAATTATTGGCGCTAGCGAAGCCCTTGCTACCGAGAAGCTCGACGCCCCTGCTGATGTCGCCCCTACTGATGTCGCCCCTACTGATGTCGCCCCTACTGATGTCGCCCAGATTGATGCGAAGCCCGAGCCTCTGGATGAGGCTGCTGGGGAGACATCGAAGGAGGCAGCAGCTCCGATTGAGCCCTCGCCTACCGCAGCAGCTGCCGAGCCGGCTATTGTTGTCCCTTCCAGCATTACGGACACGGATACGAAAGCCACTGATGCGGCTGTAAAGTCTGCAGCCGAGTCTGCTCCAGCCATCGAGGCCCAGGAGCCTCTCCAGGCTGCGGAAGAGAAAGCGGACACAGCTAATGCTAAGGTCCCAGCTGCTGCCGAGGCTAGCGCTCCGGAAGAGAGTGCTGCTGCATCGAAGGTAGAGGAACCTCGGCCCCAAACCACCGAATCTCAGCCGGCTTCCGCTGCCAAGGATGCGCAGAAGACCGACGAGGTTCCTTCATCAGAGATCAAGTCCGAGCCCCGGGAGACCCCAGCTGTACAAGACACGCAAACTGCGGGAGCCACGGAGGGAACTAACGAGGGAACCACGGGCGCTCAAGAGCCCGACAGCAAATCGGCGGCCGACCAGGGCAAGGATACGGCCAAGCTGGCCGCCAACCGGGCTCAAGAGTCTGCCAAGTCCGAGGCTGCAAATGGCAATGCCGAAAAACGCAAGACCGGTCTCTGGTCATGGCTCAAGCGCAAGGTCAAGGGCGACAAGAACTAGATCCTGTGAGCGATGTATGACCCAAATGCCAAGTGGCTGTTGGGGCGGTCGGGAATGATTTCCGAGCCCCTCTCCCTTTTTATACTCTGATACCCAAACATGGACGGACGGACAGTACTTAATCATTCTGGAACACAGTCGGAAAAAATAAAAAATCAACAAGGCACAAATGACGATATAGAAAAGAAGAAACGAAAGGGAACTGGGAAATCGCCGTCTGATACCCAGAGTGGGTGGCCGGACCGCGATTGTACTCGAATATGACTTGAGCGGCAGGAACTGTTGGGAGTCAACGCCATGGATGACTGTAATGCACTGGGCTGCATTTGTTTACTTCCTGTGATGTCTCTCTTGGTGGATTCCATGTCTCCCCTGTCCCCTTTGGGTCGGATTTGAGAATGGCACGATCGATACGGTACTTTTTGTTAATGGTAATGGGGCTGGGGGTGAAGAGAATGAGATATCTATTGTATACGTGTAATTTTCTTCTGGATTTGGGAATGCGTAGAGGGGAGGAGTGTTTTGTGAGTCTCATCAGACTGCTCCAAGTCGAGTACCAAACAATAGCAATTTGTCCTCTTGTGGGAGCTCCAAGTCTGGTCAGCATGGGGAATATTAGTTTAAGGTGGGGAGAAAGAGAGGAGGACAGGAAGGGAAAGGCAGAGAGGGGGAGGAGCCGGAGATGATTTCACCGCCATTTCTTCCCCCGTCGTTACTTTCTCTAGTCTATCCTACGGGGTATCAACGCTCGACTATTTCTTCACTATCATCAATACTATTGCTCTATAATTGTCAGGGCCCCTCTTTGTTGCGAACTAGCAGGCTAGCGGCGTCCATCACCCGTTGCGAGAGAGATTCTATTTATTCCTTTGCCCTTCTGGATGGGGCCCCTGATGGAGACCTGGTACCGAAGTTCCCCATCGGCGACAAGCACACCAGCATCACTAGAGCAATGAAGATTAATCTTCCTGCAAGTGAATACACAACATACTCGGACATATAACATATACATCACAAACTTTGGGGCACTTGTCAATCGCTTGATCCTGATTTTGACCACATGGATGTTTATCTCGGACCAAATGACATCGACCTGACATAAGGTCAAGCCAACAAGCTGGAGCAAAGATGATATCACCGCTGGCTATGCCTCTCCACCCGCCCCACGAGACAACCACCAATCTTTCTTCCCAACATCGTGGCTGAGACCATATCCACTCGTTTTCCCCTTCCACCCGATCCAGGTCAAGCTTTCCTCAAGCTTTTAGCGCTGGATTGTACCTCGTCCTGATCCATTATTCGCTCAATTGCCAATCCAGAGGGAGAGATGAGGGGAAAAACACGAAGAGGGGCAGCCCCTCTACGTACTCAGTACCACAAGTACGAGTGATTAGTCTGCCGAGGTGTGCTGCCGTCCCGGGATCGCCTGGAATTACGACCATCTAGGGGACCCCCCGAGAACTTGCGATCAGTGAATAATGGACGATTGCGAGAGATTGTCATCCCTGACTGGCTGTTTTTGCCCTTCTGGGGCTGAGACCAACAGCCACTTGTGGTCTTTCCTCTCCACTCGTGTTGTCTGAGGCTTGAGCTGACGGGCTGATGCCGCCCACTTCCCTTCCCCTCTCCGACGAAACGAGCAGGGTAGAACCTCCTGGCGGCGCGTCAACCCATTCCCTTCTCTTCATTGACTAATTTCTGGTGTGCGCTACTTAAAGTCCCTGGTCTGCTGCTGCCTGGGCTGTCCTTTTTTTTTTTTTTCTTTCTTTTCCTCCTACATCCCTCCCTGTATCCTTCATTTCCTGCATCCCACTACGTCATCATGGTTCATCTCGCCCAAATCAAGCGCGATAGCGATATCGAGCAGTCCATCAAGCGGGTCAACTCGATCAAGCTCGATAGCGCTGAGGAGGATGACTTCTCTACCAGTGTCTATGGTTCTCGCTTCGCGACGGAGCAGCTGCCTCAGCATGAGATGCCGGAGCGCGAGATGCCCAGGGAGGTCGCCTACCGCATGATCAAGGATGAGCTGAGCTTGGATGGTAACCCCATGCTCAAGTGAGTGGTCTCTAGTGCTTCGTTTGTGGGTTGATGGATGGCTAATGACTCCTTCTCCCCTGGCAGCTTGGCGAGTTTTGTGACCACCTACATGGTAATTTCGTCTTGACCATACTCTCTGGGACGTGACTGACAGTCATAATAGGAAGACGAAGCCGAAAAGCTCATGGCCGAATCCTTCAGCAAGAACTTCATTGATTACGAAGAATACCCTCAGTCCGCAGAGATCCAGAACCGCTGTGTGAACATGATTGCCCGTTTGTTCAATGCCCCTACTGACAGTGATGATGAACACCCGATGGGTACCTCGACCATTGGTTCTTCCGAGGCTATCATGCTAGGTACCCTAGCCATGAAGCGCCGGTGGCAGAACAAGCGCAAGGCCGAGGGTAAAGATTACTCGCGCCCCAACATTGTTATGAACAGCGCCGTCCAGGTCTGCTGGGAGAAGGCTGCTCGCTACTTTGACGTCGAGGAACGGTACGTCTACTGCACGCAGGATCGCTATGTGATTGATCCGAAGGAGGCGGTTGACTTGGTGGACGAGAACACCATTGGTATCTGTGCCATTCTGGGCACTACCTACACCGGCGAGTACGAAGATGTGAAGGCCATCAACGACCTGCTGGTGGAGCGTGGCATTGACTGCCCTATCCACGTGGACGCGGCCAGCGGTGGTTTCGTGGCGCCCTTCATCCACCCCACTCTCAAGTGGGATTTCCGCCTGGAGAAGGTCGTGTCGATCAACGTGTCCGGCCACAAGTACGGCTTGGTGTACCCTGGTGTTGGATGGGTGGTCTGGCGCTCGCCCGAGTACCTGCCTAAGGAGCTGATCTTCAACATCAACTATCTTGGTGCGGAGCAGGCCAGCTTCACGCTCAACTTCTCCAAGGGAGCGTCGCAGGTGATCGGACAGTACTACCAGATGATCCGACTGGGTAAGCGGGGCTACCGGTCGATCATGGTGAACATCACCAAGATTGCCGACTACCTGGCCAGCGAGTTGGAGAAGTTGGGCTTTATCATCATGAGCCAGCGCGGCGGCAACGGCCTGCCGCTGGTGGCTTTCCGTCTGCGGCCGGACCGCGACGAGGTGTTCGACGAGTTTGCGGTGGCGCACCAGTTGCGTGAGCGTGGCTGGATTGTTCCGGCGTATACCATGGCCCCCAACAGCAACTCCTTGAAGCTGATGCGGGTGGTGGTGCGCGAGGATTTCAGCATGAACCGCTGTGACGCGCTGTTGGCGGATATCAAGCTGGCTATGAGCACCTTGAGCGAGATGGACAAGACCATGTTGGAGCGCTACACTAAGTAAGTGGATTGATTAAAACCCTGCATAGCTGGCTGTAAGCTAATGATATTCTAGACACGTGCGCCAACATGCCACTCACTCGCACAAGGCCAAGCACACCCACCAACACTACAAGAACGAAACCCACTCGTTGCAGGGCAAGACGGGTAAGACTCACGGTGTGTGCTAGATGCTGCACATCGCATACATTCTGTAAATACTGGTTTGATAATTGTTTGAATAATGGAACTGGCATATGAAGACAATTCATCCTTTGGGGCTGACACAGTAGTTAACTTATAAGTGACTATACATACATACATGGGGCTCTTAGTATCAGCCACTAAATCTGGGGGCGAGGCAGTGTTGAGAGACAAGCGTAAGCAGCAGCAGAGCCGAGGCTGGGTATTTAATTCGGGGGGTTTCTGGTTTCTGGTTTCTGGCAGTCACTGAACACATCCCTGACTTGGCTTGCCAATTGAGAGTCTCTCTTTGCGCCTCAGCTCGTGTCACAGGCGTCAATGAGGAAGAATTGGTTGGAATTGGTTGGTTGTACCGTGTTTATTGCTGCTGCTGTTGCTCTTGCTTGCCAGTTGATGAGCTTCTGCTGCCGCTTTTCCTCCCCCTCTTTGCTTCTCACTCTTCTCTTTCATACACCAACTTAGCATCTTCTGCTTCTTCTTCTTCTTCATTCATCCTGCTGCCCTCTGCCTCTCCTCCATTTCCCTCCCTTTTCCATCTCCATGCCCCTCTTTCGCCGCAAAGCCAAATTGCCTGCCGCTGTCGCGTCTGCATTCCGATCGGTTGAGCATCTTCCCCCTCGCGTCGAGCACCAGCACCAGCAACACCCCGACGATCGGCCCCGTCGCTCGTCCTCGTCTTCCTCCACCGCCCGCGATCCTTCTTTGCCTCAGCCTCAGCCTCATCATCCCCACGCCTACTCACACCCTCATTTTCAGTCTCAGTCCCACTCATCTTCTCCAAAACCTCCTCCCTACTCTGCTACTGCTGCTGCCCCTCTCCGACGCAGTAAGAGTCACCGCAGCCCCCGCGAGAACACCCATCCGGTATGAACGAACACTACTACTCCACCTACTCTTATCGGGTCTTCCTCTGCTTTGCCTATCTACACACAAGATATTATTTTGCTGACGGACAGACCTCAGTCGTGGCCCCTCCCCGACCAGTCTCACGAGCAGGTACTTCAGGAACCACGCAAGTCTCGCCGCAGCCTCTTCTCCTTGCATTCTTCTGCCACCACAAGCGACTCAGTGCAGCGGAATCGGTCGGTCAAGAAGTTCTCCGCCGCCGGTCGCCGGAATAAGCAACAGCGACCGTTGTCTATCGACACCAGCTCCGACTGCCGTCCCGCTACAGCCTGGACACCTGAGCATGATCTAGACGGCGCCTATTCCCCACCGTCGTCGCAAGAACATATACACCCGCACGCCCAGTCGCAGCCGCAACTGCAATCGTGGCCGCAGCCACAATCGCAGGTCGGACAACTTCCGGTTCAACCACGGTTGGAGCAGCCCCCGCAGCCGCTGTCACAAGATCTATCGTCACGACCCCCATCCCAGGAACATCTACCGCCTCAGCTACGATCGGGAGTTCACGCCACTCGCTGGGATTCACAACCACCAACACAGCGCCAGCCGCAGCCGCAGCCGCAGCCGCAGGCCCAATCCCAGCCTCGTCCACATCCTTCGTTACGAGCAGGCCCTCCTCCCGCCTCGTTCCACATGCCGCAGAACACCGTGCCGACACTGGAAACCCGACCGCCCCGCTCCCCGCACTCTACCATTCAACGATCCAATACCGATTCGGGCCTGCTCGACCACCTCGCCCGATCGTCTCCTATTGATCCACCCCGTATACACCACGGTGAATTGGCCCCGACGCAGCCTCAACTAGACCCAACGGTGGGAGCTCGCCCGCCGTCCAGACAGTCTGTCGGACCCCCGTCTCCGTTGCGTCAACAACTGCCTCCCACACAGCCCGACTCCCCCGGCGGTATGACGGATCGTCCTTCAGGCGTGCTGCAGGCCAGCAGCAACAGCAACCAACCTGCCTCTGGCGCCAGCCACACCTTGCACGCGTCGAACAACCAGTCAGATACCGGATATCGGACCAGCGCCGCCCAACCCAGTGCCGACGCAGGACGCAGCACTCCAAGCGTGCGGGAGACCCGCGACGCGCGGCGAGAAGCTCGCGATGAGCCAAGTGACATTGACGTGCGCGCTTTAGTGCAGAAACACGACGAACTGCGTACGCTCCTTCATCATTCCCCTTCCCACCGTTCCACGATCTAACATCCCGTTCCAACAGAGGCCAAATACTCCAAAGTCAAACGGTACTACTTCGAGAAGGAAGCCCAAGTGCAGCACCTGCAGAACACGGTGGCGCACCAACGCATGGCGGTCTCGCGCACCGTGCTGGACGACAACGAGTACGCCAGCCGCTTCTCCCGGCTGGACGGGGCAATCAAGGACCTGGCGTTCTCCATCCGCAAGGACTGGGCGCGCCTGCCCCCGTGGCTGACCGGTTACGTCAGCGACGACGCGCACACCACCGGCACGAAGGAGATGACGGCGATCGGCCGCGCCGTGATGAGCCGGTGGCTGGTCGAGGAGGTCTTCGAGCGCTACTTCCACCCGGGCCTCGAGCCGGTCATCTCGCGGGCCCTCAAGGACATCGAGATGACCCTCCGCCGCCAGCAGGTCCAGGCGACCGCGACGACGGACGAGGACCGCGAGAACGCCGTCGCGCGCATCAGCAACTGGCGCCGCACCACCCTCGACGGCCTCCCCGAGCTGCAGGCCGGCGGCGCCCAGGCCGCCGACTTCCGGGCGCAGCTCATCGACCGCCTCGTCGGGAGTTTAGTCGCGACCCTGACGGCATACATGCGCCTCGAGACGGGCCCGACCGGCTCGACCACGCCAACCGCTCCCCCCGGCTTGGACGCCGGCGCCCGCATGATCGTCGAAAACGCGATCGGCATCGCCGAGAAGATCCCCCTCGAGTCCCGGGACATCGTCGTCGAATACATCCTCCCTGGAACTGCCCTCAACGAAGGCACCATGCGCGTGGAATCGGGCATTCCACCTTTACCACAGCAGCAGCGATCAACGGGCACCTCGTTGGAGATCGATCATGCCGCGGTAGCAGCAGCATCGGAAGGAGCAACGACCATCCACAATGACATCGACATGGACAACGCCAGCGTATTAGGCGCAGCCGGGATCGCCCCATCCAATACGAATACTGGCGCTGGTGCACTAGCTCCCCTCACCGGCCCGACCGACCTCTCCGCCGCTCCATCTGCCTCAAGAGGCGGTAGTAGTGGTGGCGTAGGCGGCGAGCGAGAATCCCGCAAACGGTCGATGTTCAGTTCGTTGATGGGTCGACGGACGGGTCCTGCTGCTGGGGGTGGTGCTGCTGCTGCTGCTGCTGCCCCAGGTAATGCTGGTGGTGCGGCAGGCCAGGGCACGGCAACCGGAACAGCACCCCCCGGGGTGAATCTCCCGACGGGCCCTGGTTCCGTCTCCAACGTGACCATCCCGGGCACGATCGCTTCTGCTTCTGCTTCTGCGCCGTCTGCGGGCAGCGCGGCAACCGAGGACCGCGAGCGACTGGCGCGGATCCGGTTCTCCTCGTTCGTGCTGGCGGAGGTGCGTGGGCGGGGCCCGCAGAATGTGCTGGTCAAGGCGCCTGTATATATTGAGTAAATAAGAACGAAAAGAATTGCGGGTCTCCTCTCTCGACGACACCTACATCCCTGTCAGCGGAAGGAGGTTGCGGGCTGCGGAAATTCAAGAAGAGAGGGTATGAGTCTACGGTATGTTATCGTGTAGATTGTACAGGTGAATGTCAATGTCAATGTCAATGTCCCATCTCAATGAGACTTCGATGAATGGGAATGGAAAAGGAAGTAGCAATTAGACAAGTTATCTATGATCTTTTGACTTCTAAAGTTCATATATATACGGTAGAGGCAAGGAAAGGACCCTTGACGCCCTCTGAAGATGGTCATGATGCTCAGCATTGATGGTTTTGTCGTGATGTGTCCTGCACAATGGTTGAGAGAGGATCCGGTCATATCGAATGACCGTCCCGTCTTCTTTGGGGTCTTCTCAATCACCCGGAAGGGGCGAGAGACTCCTTCCAGATGGCGTACCCCACCATCTCCAGAAGATACCGCTCGCGGTAGGCGAAGCACCTGGTCACGTTCCCGACGAGAAAGGCCTTCATTTTGCGGACGAGGAGGGTCTGATCCTTGCAGCGGGTGAGAAGGTCATCCGGGTGGAGGGTCACTTCAGTAGCTACTACTGGGGCAGCTTTCTCCGCTCCTCCTGAGCCTGTGGACGTGAATAGAGGGGAGACAGCATTGGGGCTTGTATCTGTCCCCAGCCCAAGGATGGTGTCTAGTTCTTCCTCTGTAATTTTGGTCGTGGGTGATTGACGTCTGCGGAAGCGGAGAATATCCCACACCCTTCTGAACAACGAAGGGCCTTGGCTCTGGCTTTCAATGAGCCAGACGCAGAAGCTCTCCCAGAGGTTGTGGTGGGTGATGAAGGCGAGAAGGGTGGTTGGGGTGAGGGTTGTGATGGGGAGCTGGAGAGTTCGGAGGATCTTGGTTTCTTGGTGGCTGCTGTCGTCATAGCCAGGATTCTGAGGTTCGGTGGTATGTAGAAGTGCACGATGCATTTCGCTGACGTATGCGAGCTCGGTGAGAAGGATAGAGAGGGCGTCTTCGTTGGGCCTGTCGGGATCAACATCTTCTTTGTGATGGGGGAGTGCATCGGGAGATGGCGGGGGTGAGGTATGAGATTGCGCACCCTCGGGGTGATCTGCGGAGGAGTCGTCTTCTGGGATTGTGGTGTGGACAGTATTTGCAGCAGTGGCAGTGGCAGTGGTGCACAACTCCGAGTCGAGCCCGGTGGAGAATGTCCCCAATGATCGGTCGTAGCCAAGTCTTGCTCTCCAGAACACATTCAGGAGGATCAGACTCACAATGCACGGCACCAGTACCACGTACCCGTACCACATGGTCGCCGTGACCATGCTCGCCGCACCAGCCACCACTCCGTTGACCCCGTTAATCACAGCATGGAACTGCAGGGCCCGCATGCGAGCACGGAGCTTGTTCTTCAGCGAGGCCGGAAGCTCGTGTTTCAACCGGCGAGTTTGATTCTCGTCCGTCGCACAGGGCTCCGCCGAGGCAGCGCACGCCTTCCAGCACCGCTGGAACCGCCACACCAGATATGCTGACCAGATAGCATTGACGAGGCCGAAGCCAGCAGCCAGCCCATTGCCCACGTACCCCGACAACAGATTACTGGCGTGGTAGATGGTCCGGTCAGCGCCCCATATCGCGAGCAGTGTGCCGATTCCCACGAGAAGAGCACCAATTCCCATGAGAAGATCCATAAGAATGCGATCGATGACTTCAGTGAGGACTTCTCGGGTATTGACGCCGTGCTTGTATTCATTGAGCGTGTCGATGGTGTTTTTCTCGCTGGCTGGGGCCGGTTTGTGAACCTGGTCCTTGGTGTGGTCTGCTGATGCACTGGTGGAGATGCTATCGGCGAGAAAGGCTCTCTCTTGACGCAACAAGCGCACATTGGCAGCACTGAGGTACATATCCCGGGCTGCGACCAGGGTCATGCACAGAGCGCAAGGCCCGCCAATCGCCATCAGAATCTTGGCGTGCAGGGGTACGGGGATCTCGTTCCAGACATTGGCGGCAAAGTCAGCCGCATTGGCTAACTCTAGGTATCCAACGCCAGCGAGAAGAGAATTGCGGAACAGAGGCTGGTGGAGGATGCGGTATTTGTGTTTGTTGGCAGGAAGACGGGTGCGGGTGCGGGTGAAGGTCACGGCGTTGGGGGTGTAGGAGAACGAGCGGGCGCTGGAGCTGGTGAAGACGGAGGAGAAGGTAAGGTCGGTGGATTCACGGAGGAGTTTGGGGGTAGGAAGGCCAGGTTCGGGGAGGGCCATCGTGTGTGTGCCACATAGATAGAGAGATGACGCGCGACGGGCACACACAGGTTGAGAGAAGGTGAGGTACGAGGAGAGAGAGAAGAGAGGGAGGAAGAGAGAGGAAGGGGAAGAAGGGGAAGAGAGAGAAGAGAAGTGGAAAGAGCAGGAAACGTGGAGAGAACAGGGAAGAGCGACCGGATTTGGAGGAGATGAGAAGAGTGGGGCCCTCGCCCTGTAGGGCTGAGCCGATGATCCGTGCCTATTTTCGGCTTTTCTCTCCTTTTTCTTGCAGGTCCAAGTCAACTAGTTAAACAGTAGTCCTTCTATCTATCTATCTTACATATATGCACATCATGTTACTAACTCACTAACTAACAACCAAAATTGCCAGCTCATTCCCGCACAGGCCGCACCATCGACGCCTGAACATGTCCCTCCACCACCTCGTACTCCTTCACCACTTGAAATCCATACTTCTCATACAACCGTCGGCCCTGGGGGGTCGAGGCCAAAAATGTATCCACCCCAGCTTCATCCGCCCGGTGTAGCCCCCATCGCAAGAGCTGCGACCCCAGTCCTCGTCCATTGTAGTTGGGGTGGGTTGCGAGCATGTCGAGATCTATTTTTGGATTATGAACTGTGAGTGCGTGCTCATTGAGTGGGCCATCCAGCCAGGAGGTAGCCGAGGAGGAGAACTCACAGTAATACTTCTTGGCCCCCATGACCTCCCACTTCTCCTGGTCCATCTTCCCGAAAAATCCCTCACACAATTTCTGATCGGCGCTTGGGGGCCATCTTTGCGCGAGACCCTGCTCGTCCAGCTGTGGTGGCTGGGGTTGCTGTTGCTCGCCGGAGTACAGCTTCCACTTGGCAAAGGCTGCAATCACCGGATCCTTCTGGCTTTCGTCCACGATTGTGAGGATTGTGCTGCCGGATGCGGGTTTCCCGGTCTCCTCCAGGTCGCGGGTGAATGCCTCGAACCACCAGGTGCGCACATCGTCGGTTAGGGGGAATAAGCGCCGGTTGAAGGCATCGGAGAAGGAATTGAGGAATACGTCGGTCAGCTGGGAGGCATCTGAGGGGGTAGCATAGTGGAGATTTAAGCTGGCATTGCTGCTGCTGCTGCTGCTGCTGCTGCTGACGCGGGTAAGGATGACGGCCGGTCGGAGAAGGCGGTAGGACTGACGAACGGAGGAGCTGATCGCAGCGGAAAGAGGCGTGGGCGTCATCGTCGTTGTTGCTGCAGGATTGGACTTAAGCTTGTTCGGGTATTGCTGTTGCGACTGATTTTCATCCTGCTAAATGATACCTGCAAATTTTATTGCATGATGGAGATTTGCTGTTGGTCATTGACATCATTGAGCTCGGATTGCTTCCGATGTTCCGAAGTTAAGATGAAGTAATGAAAGAGAGGGAAAGGGAAAGGGAAAAGGGAAGCAGAAAAACCAAGCGATCCAGCGATCCTCCCCGAGACTCAAGAAAGCTTGGCTGTTGACTCAGCCATCGACACAACCAACATAACTCAACACAATACTAATCAAATTTAAGCTTCTGGTGTGACTGCGCCCGTTCCTGGCTACTGACTGAGCTGGACCAGGCTGCAATTTTCTTCTTTCTGAGCGGATTCGCGGGAGCAATGCGTCACGGTCCCCGCGGCCCCCGACGCTGCTGCTGTGACGGCCAACTTCCGGAAACCAGTGTAGGGCTGACGAGAGCAACAGACCCAAAAAGACCCTTTCGTCTGCTTTTCTGCAAGGCCCACCCGCATAGATTTTCATTGTCCGACAAGGACTCGACACCGTAGGCAGCCATGTTTTGATTTCTCCGACCCTGACACGCACTCCCCAATCAGGATACGATTACGGTGCTACCCCATTGGGACAAGCTTCAGTCGATTCGTTGTACATCCACCCATCTGTGGCCTACATACGAGGGATTGTCTTCACACCACCCTCCGAGAGACCATCAGATGAGGCAGGACAGTCGACGGGAATAGCATGTAGAATGACATCGTCCGTCCGACCACCCCTCAGTCAACAACGTTTCCAGAGCCAGCCAATTGTTCCGTCATCATTATCCATGGCTGGCTGCAGAGGCGGCCATCTCAGGCGCCAGACCCTAAGCTCGACTTCCGACCCACTGGCCAGGGTTCACGGCCCTCGTTATGAATTCCGATGTGTAGAGTGGTCTGTTTTTGGCTAAATTGCCGCCCAAAGCCGATGCACATAAACCAGGTTGGGAATGAGGCAGTACTGGGGGGGGAGGGGAGGAGGCTGAGAAGGGCTTTGCTGGAGCCTGGCGCCATGCTCGTTCTCTTTCTCCTCTCAGCTCCTTTTCTTCCCCGTCTCGCCTCGTAGTTGGATTATTTTGGCAGCATTCAGGACCATTGACTTTCTGTACAGATCGGTGCTGAACGAGTGTCGCCATGTCTTCATCCACCTTCTCGAGTGAATCTCCTAAGCAGAGCAAGAGAGCAAAGAAGCAGCAGAAGAAGCAGAAGAAGCAGAATGGCACAGCTACGAATACGCCGAAGAAAGCAGCCAAGATTCTGTTAGCAGATACCATCGGACAAGCATTGCACGAGCGTCTCCTCTCGTTTGGTGACCGTTACCCCCAGCACCAGCACCAGCACCAGCACCCTCATCAGCCATCAGGGCAAACCCATCACAACAACTGGCACCAGGTCAACCAGCAACTCCTCTCCACCACTCCTCACCTCACCGTCCCTCAGATCCCCGGCTCCAGCACGAGCAGCAGCAGCAGCAACATCTCGCGCAAATCCTCCACCATGACGCTATCCTCCTACGACGGCCAAAGCGTGGCCTCCAGCCGCACCAGTCACGACACCAGCCCTAGCCCGGGGATCAGCAAACCCTCCCACTCGAGCCTAACCCTCCACAGCGAACCCCAAACCAACCGGATCATCACCCTCAACCCCCCATGCAACATGGCCACAATCGAGCAACTGATCTCCCGCCACAGCCAAGTCTCGCACATGGGCGTGCTAGACCCCAGCTACAGCCTGTTCGTGAGCACGACCCGCACAGCCCTGCTGTGCTTCAAAGTGTGCAATAAAGTGGCCATCGTGTCAGGAGACCCGATGTGCGCGGTCGAGGAGTTCGGCGCCGTGCTCGCGGAGTTCCAAACCTGGCGCCAACGCCAGCGTCTGGGGATCGCCTTCATGGGGGCGAGCGAGCGCATGGTCGAGTACGCCCAGCAGCACCACCACCACCACCAAGATCCGACGACGAAGTGGACGATCCTCGAGTTCGGCCGCGAGCGCGTCCTCAACCCAACGACCAACCCCGTCCTCCTCGAACAGGAGGGCAAACGCATCATACTACAAAACAAGCAGCTCCTCCACCCGGACAAAGGGGGGATAACCCTGGACATCTACGTCGCCCCTCCCCAGCCCTCATCCCCATCCACACCAGAGGACCAAACCCTCCAATCCCAACTGTCCGATATCTACAAAACCTGGTGCCACCACCGCAACACCTCCGACAAACAAAAACAAACTCAAGCCTTCATAACAACCTACACCCCCTTCCCCCAGAGTCAGAGTCCGGCCCAGACCCAGACCCAGACCCAGACCCAAACCCAGGACGACCCCCAATTGCAAATGCAACTGCAAGCCCAAATGCTGTACATCTACACCCTCTCCCCCCACACAGGCACCCCAAACTCCCTCGCGGCCCTCCGCTACCTCGGCACCACGCACGGCTACCACCTAGACCCCTGCATCGCCGCCCCCGGCAGCCCCAAGGGCATCTCCGATCTGCTCGTCTTCGCCGCGATGGCGCTCCTCCGGCAGATGGGGTGCAACTACCTGAGTCTGGGGTTCGAGCCGTACGCGCAGCTGGGGCGGGTGGAGGGGTTCGCCAGTCCGCTGGTCGAGAAGCTGGTCCGGAGGGCGTATCGGTTTGCGTTTGCGCGGTTGCCGGTGCAGGGGAAGCGGGCGTATCATGATAAGTTCCGGCCGGATGAGGGGTTGGAGCGGGGGGTGTTTTTGGTGTTTGTGGGGGAGGATTCCCGGGGACGGTGGGGGAAAGGGAAAGGGAAAGGGAAAGGGAATGGTGCAGGGGCAGGCACACCCGAGGTGAGGCAGGTGGTTGGGGTGGCACATTTGGCGAATATACGGATTCGGCGGGTGCTTTGGGGGTAAAGTAGCCTTTTGGTTGGTCTTGTTGTGGGGTGGTTAAGGGTGGGGTGTACGTGCTCTGTTGTCGGGTGTCGGGTGCAGGGTATGTATGTTTGGGGGTTATATATAGTTATCGTCATCTTGTTTATGTTGTACAGCGCTGCGTTGGGATTGCTTTTTTTGTATATAACTTCGCCTATGGGTCTGTTGGCACTTATAGAATGATCTTACATAGCTATCTCAACTACATGTATGATTACCATCATGATTCACCAGGTACAGCAAGTGGTGTGTCAGCCCTTATACTCGGATGGAATCGACCACATTACTCGGTACTGCTATTGTTTGCATGATATATTTCTATTGAGCTATTTTTTACAGATAAGACAATATGGCCGAGCGGTCTAAGGCGATAGACTAGAAATCTATTCTCTTCGGAGGCGTCGGTTCAAATCCGACTGTTGTCGTTTTTTACTTGTCCCCGGGATCGGAGGCGGTGTCCTTACAGTGATTTTTGGTATTTCTTGCTTCTCTATGTCTTCAGGAAATACCGGCGAGGGCTGCGTTTGATCGCGCGGTATGAACTGGTGGTATGCGTCCTCCTATAACTGCAGCATCCGAATCAATTTATAGTTATGTGATGGGTCTTACCCTATTGCCCTTCCGGATGCTACTGACCTGACCGGTCCAAAGTTGCACCAGTCTCGTAAAGGAATATGTTTCATGTCCAGTCTTATTCACAGTCAAAACAAACCAAGAACCAACTTTGTACACATGCACCGGGTCCAATGTGCACCCGCCGGGCCAGCCAGCCAGCCAGCCAGCCACCTGACCACCCAAAGCTGCACACCACAAAACCCAATCAATAGGACAGACAAACAGACAGAAACAAAACAGTAACGGCTAGAGAATATGCTAACGAACTCATCAAATGTTATGTCAGATGTTATCATGCAAAGGTCGGGTATAGCGCCTCGCTCAACGCAGAAATCAGAAGCAGGCACTTTTAGACATATCATCCAATCAAAAAAGAACAGAACGTCCCCTACACCCGCCCAATAGCGTTCGCCGCCTGCTGCAACACCCGCGGCCACCGCGAAATCAACTCCACATCGTCCAACGCCCCCTTGCCCTGGTTGCGCACGTACTGGGTGCTGGGGTCAATGCGGGGCTCGTGGTCCCAGATCGATGGCACACCCTTGATCAAGGCGGAGTAGACCAGTCGGCGACGACGCTGGGAGCGGAGGACGTCCTCGCGGATCTGCTCTAGGTTCCAGCGAGTGTGCACTTCCTCGACAAAGTGTGCCAGGAGCGTGGCGGGGTCGCTGGTCTGCGGCAACACCGAAGAGTGCTTGGAGGGGCTTGGGGTGCGAGGTGGGGTCGGGAAGGGGAAGGATGAGGTGCCGTCAGGGCCACGCGAGACACGCGGGAAGTCATTCGGGGTGGGCAAGCCTGTCGCCTTGCCGTTGACACCAACTAGCTTAGATGGATCAGGCAGCCCCGCAACCAAATTGACGCGCTCCTCCGGGTCGGCGACCACGTCGAACAGCATCGGCGGGTCGATCAGTGAGTAGACAAACTTCCACTGTCCGCGACGGATCATAACAGTCGGAGACTGAGTGCCCTCTGCCATGTACTCGCCCAACACGGTATCGGTCTTGACGCCGTCCCCGCCCGTCAAGTGTGGCAGCAGCGAGACGCCGTCCAACGGCAACCCAGGAACCAAGGGCGCGCCCACCAAGTCCGCAAACGTCGGCAGCAGATCCATCGTCGACACGTTCTCCGACACCCGCTTAGCCGCGAAGCGCTTGGGCGCATGCATGATCATAGGCACACGTGCCGACCCCTCGTACCACGTCATCTTGTACCACAAGCCACGCTCACCCAACATATCGCCGTGATCGCCCGTAAACACCACGATAGTATCGTCGCGCAAACCGCAGTTGTCCAGCACCTTCAGGAGCTTGCCCACATTGGTGTCCACATAGGTGCAGGCGGCATAGTAAGCGCGGCGCGCGGCCTTGATGCGCTCCTCCGGCATTTCCTTGCCCCACAGGTCGATGCACTTGAGCACCCGCTGGGAGTGTGGGTCCTGCTGATCCTGGGGAATCGCGCCGTGCTTGGGCAAGGGAATGTCGACATCCTCATACAAGTCCCAGTATTCCTTGGTCATGGCATAGGGGTCATGTGGATGGGTCATCGACACGGTCAAACAGAAAGGCTGGTCGCCGCGCTGGCGCACATGATCGTAGAGGTACTGGGTCGACTTGTACATCACCTCCTCGTCGAAGTCGAGCTGGTTCGTGCGAACGACGGGGCCAGCCTCCATGACGGACGACATGTTGTGGTACCAATCGGGACGGATATCCTATTTGGGTCAATATTTCCTCGCTCTCGGACCTCAATTCCAGAAGACTCACGGGTTCGTCCCAGTTGACAGACCAGCCATAATCGCCAGGGTAGATGTCGCTAGTCAAGCGCTGTTCGTATCCGTGCAGCTGATCGGGGCCACAGAAGTGCATCTTACCCGCCAATGCAGTGTGATACCCCTCGCGGCGCAGGTAGTGGGCGTAGGTTGGGACATCGGCGGGCAGGTCGGAGGCGTTGTCGTACGCACCGATTTTGGACGGGAGTTGGCCGGTCACCATGACGAAACGGGAGGGCGCGCAGAGCGGCGCATTGCAGTAGGCGGAATCAAACACCACTCCTTCTTCGGCCAGCTGGTTCAGATGGGGGGTTTTGATAGGGGAGTCCTTATCATGGAAGGCCAGAAGCGGGGCGGCCATCTGGTCGGCCATGATGTAAAGGATGTTGGGCCTTTTGGCAGCCATGGCGATGAGCGACTCTCTCTGTTGACACGGGGGGGGGGATAATTGTGGATGTGTCTAGACTAGAATGGCTTGTGAATAGCTGCTGTAGAAGGGACAGTTGTTTTCGACAGGTCTGTCCCGACTGATCGTGATGGAAGAAGGGAGTGGGAAGGGAGGAAGTTTAAAAAAGGTGGAAGAGGCCGGATTATAAGTAACGGTGACCGGACAGTGACTGGCTTCAAGTGGAGACTGACCACTGCAGCAGTGAACGAGTCCCAATGCCTGATTCAGGATATAAAGGGGGGGGATGGGAGTAGAATGGAGGGAAAAGAGGAAAAAAGCAGGAGAAAAAGAAAGGTTCAAAAAAGATGGCGGCAGAATCAGGCTGGCTCGTCACTCGGCCTCGCTCGTCAATTCTCCATGTCACTATAACAATGGAACCATCGGCGGGGACGATGGTGTGATTGCGGGAGGATCCATGGATAGCCGCCAAGGGGGCAGCAACACCAGACTGATGATTGCTGATCATCAGGCGGGTGCAGTGAATAGGAAACTCAATGGTGTGGTGAAGCAGGAGGGAGAACTTTGCAGTGACGAGGACAATCTTGCAGATGAAGCGGATCGACTGCTGCATGCGGGCGGGTCTATCAAAGTCCACTACTCACTCTCGACTATCAACCGGGATCAACGGTGTGATGGCCAGTCCAGTTTGTTTTTGATGATTTGCCACGCGAGGCCCTCAATCTCCGGTGGTGGCGGTGCTCACGTGCTGGCCAGATTGGCTTCTCCTTTGACCTGACTCCTGACTCGATCTTTGCTTCATTATTACTCTTTACCACACAAAGACTTGTAAAAGATCCAATTGATTGACTGGTTTTGGTCTTGATAAGAAAAGATACCCCGGGGGATCGGTTGTTGTTCACCGCCCATCGCTTAGGGTGAATTTCCCCAATTTGGGATTCGCCGGACTCGCACCGGGCCCGATCTTGGCCCACTTGGCACTTTTTTTCCATTGAGTGTTGATGTTGATTGGCAAGTGATTCCATCCCCGGATCCGCTGTGGTCACGAGGGCTGCCGACTAAGCCGGGGCTGTCGGCAATCGCTTCTCGCTGTCTCAAAGCATTGTCTCACGCAGTTGCTTGCTTGTGATTGCTCTTGGTTGAGGGTAACGATGATCTGTCAGATAGCAACAAGAGGGTGTACGCGTCTACTTCAAATGACACAGAGGATTTTCTAGATCAGCTTCAGATGGTCATATCGAGTAGCAGGATCCGGTGGCCAGCCGTCGGAGTTAATCTGAGACAAGTACGTAGTCCAGAAACTGGCAGACTGGGCTTATCAGAAACGCAGGACACGACGCAGCAATCGCCTTCCAATCTTGCGTCCAGTGACACGACCGGTGGTCGTCGTCACACAGGGGCTCTTTGGCATCTCTAATCGCGATATCACGCGCCACTTCTCAACCTAATAATCTGAGTTGTCAGACTGGATTCTAACAATACAGTAGTAGTTCTCAACTGATTTCAAAGCATAACCCCCAACTTCCTCATAATCACTTAGTCCTACGTACAGTACTTCCCAATTACTCATAACATTTCCGCAGCCAGCAACCAGATCTCCGCAAACCCACGGATTCCACCTCTCCCTCAAAAACCAAGATGCTGCGGTTGAAACCCAGGCCCACGCAGACTGACGTACGTATGGCATAGTAGCTATCCAACCCAGCTCCAAGATTTTCCCTTTTACTTTCGAAATAGGTACGGAGTACCTACTGCACTCTGCACCACCACGACGAATCACACAGCCCGATTCTCATGTGTTGTCGGAGTTAAGCGCATTTGCTAACCCTGCGGCTCAATGGCATCATCCACAACCTATCAGCGCCCTTTCTTGCCGCGGCTTTCGTCGTCAGCTGGGTCGAGCCTACCCCGGACGATCCATGATCCCCCTGAAGATCCCCTTTCCTTGGTGCTTGGGTTCTGGAAGGGGTTTAGAAGCCGCGTCGGACGTACGGTGGCTTAGAGCCGCACGCAGCATGGCTTGTTTCTGGCGTGGACGGGGACGTGGCGTGTCTAGTCGCCGTGTCTGACAGCTCTCGGTGGGGAGGACTTCGGCTGAAATGTCCGCGTGTCAGATATTCTCGGGTTGCAGGGTTCAGCATCGGGCTCATACGGGGTCGGAACCCAGGTGTTACTTCTCTGATGGTGGGCTGGAGCGTGAGTGCTATGGCGGCTCCAACGTCATCGGATTGGCATCCTGCGAGCACGCCATCGCCGGGTTAGTCATCCATGGTCGATTGCGGTAGGGAGCATTTTTGGAGCATGCAGTTTTGGTCTAATACCTAAGTTACTCCGTAGTGCGAGTTATAAGGATTTTCATTAGTGGTTTGAAGATTCCGGCTGTCGCTGAGCGGATTGTGTCGGCATTGCTGGTAGGATTTACATAGTAGTATAGAACAAGATACCCGCACCAGATGGTTGAGTCACAACCTAATCACCGCGAAGTACAATAAATAGTATGTTAATCCCAGCTTTAGAAGGGTCTCATTTTGCTAAGTATCCGTTTCTCATCCATTCTCAAGCCAGCCAGACAACAAGCCTACCCCTCAAAATCGTACTCCAGCATGACTCCCTTCCTTCCACCCTACACATTCCCGAAGATCGAAAGACCCAAAACAACCTTTCCAGATCCAACTAACCCTAAACCATACTATCCATACATCAAACCAAGATCGAATTCATAACCCATAATCTGTAACTCATAGCCCATAGCCCATAAGACCCCATTACCATCAAACTACATAATATGTCCAAATCCCCCCTCCGATCCCATCACCCCCAACCCTAACCCAAGAACAAAACACCCTGGCACCTACCAACCCTACTCACCCCAACACCCGTGACAGCCACCAGCATAACCCCATCCCACCTGAAAGCCCCACCCCGCATACCCTCCAAAAGCCACAAAGAGGCACCTATTCCCCCATCTTCCCCCCTCCTAAGCTCCCATCTTCCCCTTCTCAACCATCGTCTCTCCTTTAGGCACAGACTCCACGACCGTCTCCGCCTCACTCAAAACAGACCCAGCATCATCATCATCAGCAGCAGCATCCTCCTGACTCGATCCCTTGCCATTCAAACCTCCGGAGGCGGAAGCAGCTTTCTTCGCCCGCCGATCCCGGACCTTCTGCACCTGCCGATTGACGAACCGCCACGCCTCGCCCGCGAGCTCGAGGTCTGTCCGGGGGCGGCCACGGGGGGTGTTGCTGCCTGGCTCTGATGTGGCGGGGGGCCGGGGGAGGGAGGTGGCGGATGTCATATTCTTTTCTCGCCTTTTCGCGGGGGAGTGGGTGTGGGTGTATGGATGAAAGATGGAAGAGGGGACGGTGTAGAAGGTAAGTTCCTCTTTTGAGGTGTTTGTGAGGACGTATAGACTGAACAGATTGAGGATTCTCTCGAGGCGAAGGTGATGTAGTCTGGATTGTATGATTTGAGACCCTGAAAGTCGGGGGTTGCTTTCCTCAGGATTCGGTTGTGTGGTATAAGGTCCCAGCTGGAGATGGATGTCTTAAAAGAAGTAGTAAACGCGAAGCAGTAAATGATGGGCAGGGCTTAGCACTTGTTGAGCCAGACTTCAGAGACCCATGCGATGCCCTTATATAGTCTATCTACATACTGTACGCAAAGCAAGCAACCACATGCATAACACAAGCAAACACAAACAAACAAACCAAACCTCGTAGACTGCAGCCTAAGTCTAAGTCTGAGTTTGAGTCTGAGTCACGAAGCTTAGGAATCAACCGGTGCCTAAGCAATGGAAGAAGAGGTTATAATCAGAGGCAGTAACGGTGAGAGCCGTGTCGGGTTCCAGATTGGGGCAAAGGAAGCGGTGCGCTACTGCACGGCACGGTGGGATGTATACGTGGTGAAACTGCCTGGACTCAGGTAACTCCACTTGGAAGCATTTACCAATTCCATCTACCGGCGCTCGAGCCAAAAACTGTTTTTGTCAGCCATTGAGTTGCTTTTTCTTCCCTTGATGTGATTTGTCTGTTCTGTAGACTTGGGTATACTTTTAAACATAGGGTAGGTCTATGTGATAATGTCGTGCTGCTGTGGTCGTATGATTCCAATGACATCCCAACCCCTAATCTGACCTTGCATCTAGAACCATATCGATAGCGAACTACGCTTCTCCAGACCCGGATTCACAAATTGAGATAAATTCGCTAAAGGCAGAGTATATATATCTAAGTTGACACGCTAAATGGCCACAGGCCATGCAATGAATGCTGTCAACTGACAGACTGCACTCGCCCTTCAAGGTTAGAGGCACGAGTGCATTGAGTTGAAGAAAGTTCAGCCGAGATCGGAGAATGCAAGCACTCGACCAAACTCCCCCTTGATGTCCGTCTCGAATGGAAGAAGTCGTTTAATCGACTTTGATTGCACTGTTGATGGTCAGATCACACCACAAAACACAAAGCAGATCGCTCACCTGTAGATACGTCGGATGAATGCATACGCCGTCAGGAACCCAACAGTCCCAGTCAAGAGACCATACACGGTACAGGCAAGGAAGCTGTAGCTGAAGAAAAGAAGACTAGACACGAAACCTGTGATGTGAAGGTGGAAGTAATAGTACCAGATGCAATACCCAAACACCCAGAAGGCACTGCTACCACCGGTAAGGAAGCTCTGCCACCACCAGTGGTAGTTCTACTCCCGTTAGCGACAATCCATCTCACTATCCACAAGCGAGCAACTTACTTCGGCACAAAGCTGACTGTAGGTGGCAATGATCGTCACCTCGCTGATCGTGACCATCAGGATCGTCGACACGGCACTAAGGAATCCAAATACATAGTAGTATCCGCTCTTGTCTTGCCACAAGCTCCGGAACACAAAGAGAAGCTCAATAAACAGAACAGCAAACGGACCCAGTCCAGTCAGAAGAGTACCACCGATGCTGTGCAAATACCAAGGCTGAGGCGGGATTTGGCGAGCGATGGAGGTGGTTTTGGTAGGATGCTCCCAAGCTGTGGCGCGGACATAGCCATACCAACTGCCAACGTAGACCAACGGGACCTGGATCAAGAGCCAAAGAGCAAGAAGACCAACCAGGGTGCCGAACGGAATCGCGGTACTCGAGGCCTGGGCCCAGACGAAAAGATTGAGGATGAAGATCAGGCAAAAGACCAAACCAGGGAAGAACAGGGCGGTCTGGATGTATTAGTAACAGCACGGCCATTGCGACGCAAAAGACTCACAATCAGCGTGTTCTTCCGCCAATGAACGCCCCCAAATGTCTTGTAAAGTCGACCCGAGAAGTAGCCCGAGAACAAACCAGCAAAGACAAACAAGCCCATACCAACACTGACAAATCCACCACGGAAGCTAGGATTCAGCACGCCAAGGCAGCTGAGGAACAAGAGTCCCGAAACCATGAACAACAACTGCATGCCGGAGCCGATAAGGGGTGCCAGAAGTCCGCTGAATTGAGGCGTCCGGAATACGTCGCCATGAAGTAGTTTCCATCCGCTGACGTCTTCCAGACCTTCATCGTCAGATCCATCCGCATCGCGCTCGACATCTGTGCTTTGCTCCAGAAGCCCGTCACCTTTCCTCTCCGAGGATCTGGATTTCACCTTGAGCTTTCCATCCTCCAAAGCACCATCTCCGCGACCCTTGATGTCGCCCTGCACAGTCCGACTCCAGATGACATAGACAGCGACTCCGAGGACACCGGAGATTGTCAGAGAGTTGAGAATAGCGAGCCAGTGGGTTGCAGAACCCTCCTCTTGGTTGGTAAAGTAGAGGTCCCACCGGTTCCACCAGTCAACCCCATTCTCTTCCTTGAAATAGACCGAGTAGGTGTACGGAATCTTGAGTGTAGCGCCATCATCGATTTCGTCGTCGTCTTCGGGGATGTATGACGATCCCGGGTACATTTCGCGCAGTTTCGAAGTATTCGGCGGGATGTACAGCTCAAGCCCATCATGCGCCTCATGAACCTGCTTGGGGCAGCCGTTCTGCGTGTGATCTTCCGCGCGAATACTCTTCGGGTGTATCTCGAAGCCGACAATGACCTTGCCACCTTCCGGTGCCGACCGCCAGCGGATGACAATAGTGAAATGATTGTTGATATAGTATCGCAGCTTGCCGTCGATGTTCGAGTACTCCTGGAAGCCGAGCTTGAAGCCAGTAGCATAATACTTGCGACTTCCGTCAACTGTCACAAAGCTTGTTGCGCCAGGCAGGTTATCCGCGATCCACTCGGCCACGTATCCCTCCTTGATCAGCTGACGAGTCCATTTGATATCCTTGCGCCCGATCTCTTGTTCGCAGAGCACCCGACAGTCGACGTTCTGGCCCATCTGCAATTCAAAATCAGATGTCATGATACGGTCGCCGCGAAGGATCTCTCCTAGGTTGAGAGACACGCTTTGTCCCGAGCCAAACGGGGATCCGCCGTGGGTTCGGCCGCTGGGAGGGCAGACAAAAGGCAGGTCGAAGTACGCATACTGAAGCTGAGTGTTATCGGAGAAAATCTTGTTCACGAGGAGAGGAATGTGTTCGTCGTCGTTGTAGCGTTTGACAGAATATCCTAAGAAAAAGACCGATGGGTCAGCGAGATGGAGGATGGTTGTCGCAACACAAATGATGCCGACCTACCAGGGATGTAGAATGCGTAGGTACACGAAGCGAACAACAGCCACAAGGCCCATTGACGAGGGCGCCCAAACTGTCGAAGCTCCATGACTCAATTAGGGAAAGAAGGATAACAGCCACTCTACCAGAGATTGAGGCACGACAGCGCAAGCATGCACCAGCAGTTTGCGAATGATTGATAAGTCGTACGTGGCGGATACGAGATCGAGGGGGTGCAAGTAGATCAATCAGCGTTCTGTCAACTGACCGCCCGATTTTATCGGTCCGAAGTCAATTCGAGCGATAAAACAATTAAGATTCGATATAGAAAGGGAAGGAGATTCAAAGAAAAAACATAATCGAGTAAGGAAAGGAAACGACAGCCAGGTGTGATTGTAGTCGAACCACGATTTAAGAGAGGGAAGAGGGGGGAGCTTGGGACAGCCCGACGGTCGACGAACGGAGATCCAGCGGTTTAGATTGCGACGGGAGACGCCAAACCTGGGGTTGACAACTCAATGCAGCCAAGAAAGGAACGAATGGAATCGGCATTAAATGCCAGAGAGAGAAGAAGTGCGAAGCAAGACAAGAAACCAGGAGGGTCAGTGTGGTTGGTGCAGTTGGTGCAGATGGAGTCTTAGACACTTAGACAGTACCAAGGTGCAGGAAAAAGGAATTAAGGTCGGGGAGCGGGAAGAGTTGAAGGTCGATCGATCAACTCCCAGTGAAGCTTGTGTTTCACTTTCAACTTCGGCGCTTGCCATTTCCGGAGAAACATTCAACCATCCATCACCCTTACAACTCTACAGCTGCTACAACTGCTACAACTGCTACAACTCGTACATTGCTCTTGTTCTTGCTATAAGCAAATGACCACTTCACAATGGTGCCACATTTGTTGATCTCCTTAAATACACATCCATAGCTGGCCACAAGCCCAATTCTCAGATCTACCTAGTCAACAAGCTTGATGCATACCTTGCCAACGTGCGAACCGGATGCCATGTACTCGTACGCCTTAACAACCTCTTCCTGAGTGAACCGAAACTCCTTCTCCACAGGCAGACGAAGTCCCTTCTGGGCTACAAACCGAACGACCTCCTCCAGAAGCTGCGTCGAGCCAACCGTGATGCCGCGCACAACCGCACCCTTCGCCAGTGCCAAGCTCGCAACATCCGGCATCTCGGACTGCTTGGCCTGCGAGAGGAAGCCGATAACCGAGATATTTCCACCCATCTTCGCGGAGTTCAAGCTCTCCGCGATCGTACCGGAGCCACCATTCTCCAGGATGTAGTCCACTCCCTTGCCGTTGGTGAGTCGCAGCACTTCCTGGGACCACTCGGGGTGCGTCTGGTAGTTGATGCCGTGGTCGGCGCCGAACTTCGACTTGACCATCTCGAGCTTCTCGTCACTGGAGGACGTGATAATCGTAGTCGCGCCCGCCGCTTTGGCTAGAATCACGCCGGTGATGGAGACACCTCCCGTACCTTTATCGACGAGCCCAGCGGAGTCAGCTTTACACTCTAATAGACAGCTGTAAAAAAAGTGTGTTCAAAACATACCCAGACACAAAACCGTCTGACCCGGCCGGAGCGGCATATTGCCGTAGAGGGCATTCCAAACCGTGACCCCGGTACACACCAGGGTCGACCACTCGGAGAAGCTCTGGGGCGCGTCTTTGGGCAGCTTGACCACCGACGCCGCGGGGACGCTGATGTACTCGCGCAGAACGCCGTCGATCGGCGCCCCCTGGCCGTTCTCCCAGTTCTCCTGCTGGCCGTACAGGTTGGTCAGGTCGAAGGTGACGACGACCCGATCCTCCGCGGCGAACTTCTGGACCCCGTCGCCCACGCGGACGACCACCCCGGCGGCGTCGGAGCACGGCACCACGCGGTCCTTCACGGGGAACGGGTACTGCGAGGTGGCCACCGCGATGTCGCGGAAGTTCAGCGAGACGCTGTGCAC